TGGACCCTGAGCCCCTCTCTCACTGAGGACACAGGCAGGTTCTTCCCGCTCTCTCGACATCTGGAGGAGTTCAGGTAATCAGCTTCTCCCGGGGGACTGTAGCCGCGACCCCCACAACAGAACAGGGGCGAGGGGTTGAAATCTCTTGGGAGGCCATCAGACCAGGGCTTCAGGAAAGCCCTTCCTTGCCCTCTGTCCCACTGACCTCCTGCCCCATCTCCAGAGCAGTGTCCTGCTGCCACTGATTCCCACAGATCTCCCCCTCCTCCTGATGTCCCTTCCTGGGATCTGAATTGAAGAGGGGTAGGGACACACAAGGCCCAAGGTCACTGAGGGGACACCCCAGGAATACCTGTTCTTTCTCTCCAGATGACCCTCTTGTCTGTGAAAAGAGGAGGGATCGTTCTGTCCCAGCTTTGCGGATGAAACCCTCCCCGCAGGCCAGGTGACTTATTTTATGACAGTCACCTGTCAGACATGCCAAGCACAGGGCTCTCACTCGGGGAGGCTTGGCTGGTGTCTCCAAGCGCTGGCTGAGACGTGGCAGTAAGAGGGAGGACCGAGGGTTGAGATGGCACCTGGGAACAGCGGAGAGTGGAGGGCAGGGTGTCCCTCGATGCCCTCCCTCCCTGATTTTTGAGTGACTGCACAAAAGATGCTGTTGGATTTATGACGGGATGACAAGAAGACCATCCTGAATTTACAATGTGGAAAATGCACTTAATACTCTGACCTGCTGACCTTCCTAGCTTATCGGGATGATCAAGTGGTTGGCAGGTGCCCCGGCTCACTGCCACTGCCAGGCATTGGGGTGGGGGTGGGGCGTGGGGGTGTATCACAGAGACACTAGCCAGGGAAAAAAATCCAAATTTAAAATTCAAAGTAGCTATTTTACAGAATGTATGTTGCTTTTACATTTTATCATCATCCATCAGCTGTCAGTCAAACCATGGTAAGTTGGGGACTGTTAGGGTCTGGGTCTGGAATGTCCCTCCAAGTCTCAGCCTTGGTCACCAAGGCAGCAACATCCAGAGGTGGTACCTTCAGGAAAAGAGGGTTCTGAGCTCATCAGTGGAGTGACCCATTTGATGGATGAGTAGTTAGAATGGACTCTGGGGAGGTGGTGGAAACTGCAGGTACTGGGGCGTGGTTGGAGGAAGCAGGTGACTGGGCACTGCACTTTATCTCTGGCTCCTCTCTCTGTCTCTGCTTCTTGGCCGCTATGAGTGGCAGCTTTTCTCTGCTATACTCTCCCCACCAGGATGTTCTCCTTCACCTTGATCCAAACAATGGCATCAGCTGAGAGACCTTTGAAGCCATGAATATTTTTGTCACATGAATGTCAACCTATCACCGGGACCATCTGTATGAAGGGAAACCAATATATTTAAGTTTAATAATAGGACTATTTGAATATTCAGATTTTAAGATCAGCTTCAGTCTGAATTAACACATAGCCAGGTGCTGTGGTGCACAACTGTAATCCCAGCGGCTTGGGAGGCTGAGGCAGGAGGATCACGAGTACAAAGCCAGCCTCAGCAAAAGCAAGGCACTAAGGAACTCAGTGAGACCCTGTCTCTAAAAAAATACAAAATAGGGCTGGGGATGTGGCTCAGTGGTCGAGTGCCCCTAAGTTCAAGCCCTAATACCCCCCCCCAAAAAGTAACCCCTTACTAAAGTGTAGACTCTCCAAGGGAAGGGGCCATGGGTATTTGGAGGGAGGCTATGGTGGGGCATTTACACCGTGGACCTGATCGCCTCTACCCAGCAGGGCTCTTTCGGTTCCAGAGTGCTGGCTGTTAAACATTGACCACAGCCGGTTGGGGCTGCCTCCAGCTTCTGCAGCAGTCTAGCCACTTAGATATTCCAGGAATAAATACATGCATGAACAACCACCACCACAAGAAGAAGGAAGCAGAGAAGTTCGGTTCAAGAGTTCAGCAGAACTCACGCACGGGGCGCCACAGGGAGACGGTAGATGTTCATTTCCTAGGGGTTCATTTCTAGGGTTCATTTTCACCTTCCCATCTGGGGGGGCTGCCAACTCTCGTGTCTTAGGGCCTGGCAGATGAGGTACAGGCATGCTCTATGGGGTCTGAGTCAACAAGGACCATTCAAGGTGTTTTCTTGGGGTGACCTTGGTCAGCATTGCCGGAAAGTGGTGGTGGAAGTAGCCCAGCATCCAGCAGGATAGTTCCTAACCAGAGCCATTCCTGGGCCACAGTCTGCAACATTCACAGCCGTTCCAGCCCATTTCCATGCCTGACCCTCCAGCCTTCCTGTCAATTCCATGAGCTCCCAATGTCCTTCCTCGAAGCAACTTTTTTTATATAAGTTGACTGGATCCTTTTTTTGTGTGTGGTTTGCAACCAAGAACACTGTGAGTCAGTTCAGGTCCCTGGAGGTGCAGACGCCAAGATGGGATTAGGTGTGCAAGGGAGCAGTGGAAGGAAAGACCCATGAAGATAAACATGGAGGGAACCATGGGAGAGCCATGCGGGGAGCCTTGGGAATGTGGAAGAGAACCAGGCACCAGCTGGAGGCTGCCAATCAACTGGGCTTCCCACAACCCTCTCCAGAGGGAAAACTTTAGGACCACTGCAAACCTCTAGCACAGGATATAACAAGGGAAAAGAGATTTCTGCACTTGCAAAGTTCCCAGTTTGGAGGGAGAAAAGAGACCAGTAGAAAAGAGGAAAGAGACCAGCAGGGCCAACCCTGGCCCAGGGGCCACAGAGGCTGGGGTAAGGGAAGGCTTCCTGCCAGAGGTGGATGGTAGAGCAGCTCCCTGTCTTAACCTTGAGCTTTTCATCCCAACCCAGCCACACAGGGATCTGACAGCTTATTTCTTAGCTTTGTCTCTAGTTATGAAATTTACAGAAATGACCCAATGTAGAGAATTAGGGGGCGTGTGGAGCAGGAGGAATTAGCATGTATTCAGACCCTAGTGGGAGCTGTATGGAAGCATGCCATCTCCACGGGGCTCATGTGAGCAGGTTGTGACTGAATGAGGTGACATGACTTGCCCAAGTTCATACACTGTGAGGAGCAAAGCTGGTTTCCAACCCAGGTCTGTCGGTCTCCCAGGACTTTGCTTCTGCTGCTGCCCCAGGCTACCCCGATCCCCAAATGGAAGGGGGTCTCTGGTTCTGCCAGTGCGTGGCTTGGAGCCAGTACAGAAGGGAATTTACAATAGGAAGGAAGTTTTCTGAAAATTTTCTGAAACTACCTTATTTCTGTGCACTGATTATTGCTGGGCACTGTGCTCCCTGGTCAGAGTGGGCAGAGGAGTGGGCAGAGGAGAACGTGAGAACATGAGGCCCAAAGACAGTGAGTGGCCGGCCTGGCTGTGGGCGGGTCCTGCTTCCCCAACCTCAGGGGTCTCTCTGCAGTTGGGGAGAGGAGTAAGAAGACCCAAGTCTGGGTGTCTGAGACAAAGGGATCAAAGGAAATCCAGGAGCAGATCAGTAGGATGAACTCCTGGGGCCTCAGCTGCCCCATTCAGCCTTGGGAGAAGCATTTCTCTCCCATTAACAGGGACCTTTGACCAAGCTCAGAAAGGTCCTAGCTGGAGGGGCCAGGGAGTAGGACTTTTAGAATGGAAGAAACTATTTTTTTTTTTCTTCTAGAGAGGCTCTGGGTAATTCCACTCTGCTTTCTCTGCCAAGCTTTATCTTTGCCCAAGAATTCACACTCCTCCCCAGGGGCCCCTGGGACACAGCTGCTGCAGCCCCTCCTCTCTACCCTGATAGGTAAGAAAGGCCCTGGGGTTTGTGTTTTAACATGCACTCTGTCCCAGCATCAGCGAGGGCTCAAGGCAACCGACTGCAAAAGCCCAGCTCTGAAGAGGGCTGAGCTCCCCCATGGGTGACTTTTCTCTGCTCACAGGAGATCAGGGAGAAGTGACTGGCCAGAGCCAGCAAGGGGCCAAAGGCAGAAGAGGATGGGGGGGGGGGACCAGCCTTTGTGAGCTTCCCACCTTCCACAGGCTCAGGGCCAGTGCCATTTTCCTACAGATGAGTGAATTCCAGTTTTAGAAAAGGAACGACAGGCAAGGGGTGCTTTGCTTGTGAGAAAAGACAAGCGAGAAAGGAAATTAAATTTACCACATTTACTTAGCTCCTGCCTTAAGGCCAACCAGTGCCCTGGGCACAGGAGATGGGGATGCAGGCCTTACCCTCTGGGAACTCAGAGCTGACTCAGGGGACTGAGCACCACTGAGATGCACCACCGAACTACAGCGGCAAGAACTGAGGGAGCGGGCTGGGGATGTGGCTCAAGCGGTAGCGCGCTAGCCTGGCATGCGTGTGGGCCCGGGTTCGATCCTGAGCACCACATACCAACAAAGATGTTGTGTCTGCCGAGAACTAAAAAATAAAAATATTAAAAAAAAAAAAAAAAGAACTGAGGGAGCAACAGCTCTGCCCAGGGGGTGGTCTGCGGAAGGCTTCCACAGGTGAAATTTGACCAGGGTTTTGAGAGATGAGTAGGAGTTAGAGGGGCTTGGGACAGTACATTCTAGACAGTGAAAAAAAGCTGGCTGGGATGTGGGGATAAGCAACACGAGTGGAGAAATTAGTTGCAGCTGAAGTAGAGAATTCAAGGGTGGAGGACAAAGAGGGTGGCTGGACACGAGGGGTGTGGGGAGTGATGGAGAGGCTACGGTTAAGGAACAAGGGCAAGTGAGATCGCAGAGGCGACTGGCGCGGACCCAAGGCAGGAATGACCCGGAGCCCCGGGAGGGGAGGAGAGGCGAAGCCAAGCCTTGGCGAGGACCCAAGCGGGTGGAGGCACGGGGCTTCTCTGGTCACCACGGAGACCTCTCCGCGGGGGCACTGTCCTCCCACGGAGATCCGAGCGGGTGTCCGCGGGGCTGGGTCGGGGGAGATGGGTGGGGGGAGATGGGCGGGGAGGAGGCCAGCCAGCGGCGGGGAGAGAAAGCCCAACCTCCGCGGGCGTTCCGCGCGGCGGGGCCGACCTCCAGGCTAGCGCAGGGGCGGGCACCGACGGAGCGGCCCGGGCAGCGCTGCGCGGGGCTCCCGGCGCTTTCGGAGACAGGTAGGAAGGCGGAGAGGCCGTCGGTGGGCGTCAGGGGCGGCAGACCCCGGCTTCTGCAGGAATTTGCCCCGCCTAGCTCCTGGCGCTTGCGGTGTCGGAGAAAGTGGGGCGTGGGGAGCCCACCTCCCACKCCCTCCACCGAGGTGCGCGCAGGGCGGGGTCGCCGTTCTGCACCGCGCGCCGTCCGGCCAGGGGGACAGGGTGCGGAGAACCGCTCGGCCAGGGTCCCAGGGCCCCAAGGAACCCCGCGGTCCCAGCGCCCACGCTTCCCGCCACCTTCCCTCGGAGGGACGCCGTTCTCTGCGCGTCGCAGAGGCGAGGACTTGAAGGCCCAGCGCGTCCCCTCCCCACCTGACGCTGGGGATCAGGGCCTGGGGAGCTGAAGCCCCGGAGCCCGGCTGCTGCCACAGGTGCCCGGCTGCCCCCAGCCTCACCTGCGAACCACATCTGGGGTCTTCGAGAGACGCACAGGCGCAGTCCCCGGGGTGGGGACGCAGGGCGCCCCTTCAGGGTAAGACAGAAAAGGGGGACAGCGTCATGCCAGCCCCGGCAGAACCCACATCAGTTAGGGACGGTGCAGGAGGGTGGTGCCCAGCGCCACCAAGGCGCCAGGCCCAGGTCTGCCCCGTGGGAAGCCCCAGCCCGGGTCCCGCCAGCCGCTTTGAGTCTGGTGAAGCACCACCGCGTTTGGAGTGTCCGTCCTGCGCTCTGTCCTGCCCCTGTCCAACCCCGGAGTAGCTCGGTGGCCAAACCCAGCAGAGCTGGCCCTGGAACCGGACAGGTTGTTTGTCACCACTAGTTGAAAAAACAACTTTTCAGGCTTCAGGGACTTTGGAATTGCAGATATGGAGTTGTAGTCCGGGGCATCTGCAGAGGCCGGGGTACTGCTGGTAGCAATTGTAACTTTTAATTTTTTTTTTCCTTCCTGTCCTTTCTTTAGTCTCTCCCATAGCTAAGCTCACCCGCCCCTAAAGGTTTGTCTCCTTAGAGAAGCATCTCGCATAGCCAATCTTGTCATCAGCCTTAGGCTCCTACAGCCGCTCGGCTTCCCCTCCTGAGCGGATGCTGTCCCCAGAGCTGCCTCCAGCGAGGTCCGGGCCAAGCGAGGCTGGAGAGGGGAGGGCACAAATCTCCCTCACACCAACCCCAGGATTTTCGGACTTGACTATGAAAACGGTTACTAGGCGAATGATTGTTTTTACCAAGTACCCAGTACCTATGTCTATACGGGTGCCAGGGGAAATTTTGCCAAACTTGGCTTATGTATGCTGTTTTTTCCCAATAACCTGAAATCATTTTATATTAAACAAAGCAAACAAACAAAAAAAGACTTTGGTGGAATTACAGATTTTAAAATTCAAACATACAGGTCAGTACTTGTTAAATGTTTTGTACTGAACGGTACCAATTTCTTATGTCATTCTTTGATACAGTGACTAGTACATACAAGCGCAGTGTGAGCATACTGAACGCACATATACCACACTGCCTTCGCACACATGGTACACACCAAATCATACAGCCATTGTACCCACACCGCACTTGTCTGGACTTAATCTTGTACAACACACTGAGCACCTGCCTGTATGCACACTATTTATGGAGCCTTTTCATGGAGATTCTGTACAGAGAAAAGCTGGCCTGGGTTTAAAATAAGATACAAAGTCAGAGTGGTGGTGCAGGCCCCAAATCCCAGTGACTGGGATGGGAGGCCAGCCTGGGCAATTTAGTGAGACCCAATTTCAAAACAAAATTTAAAATGTATGTAGCTCAGTGGTAAAGTGACCCTGAGCTCAATCTCCATTATTTGTGTATAAATGTATATATGATACTATATATGCAATACCATGTATATGATACAATCGTGTGTGGGTGTGGGTGTGTGTATTGAACCCAGGACCTTACATATGCTAAGCACTCTCTCTACTACTGAGCTACACTTCCAGCCCCAATTAACTTTAATTTTTTTTCTTTTAATAATTTTTTTTAGTTGCCCATGGACCTTTATTTTATTTATTTATATGCGGTGCCAAGAATTAAACCCAGGGCCTCACACATGCTAGGCAAGCGCTCACTGAGCCCCCCCCCCCCCCSCCCAATTAACATTTTTAAAAGCAGTTGAATTTTAAAAATTATCTTCAGACTTAAAAAAAATTAAATAATAAAAACTGATATACAAATCTATATTTTAAATTTTATTTATTTATTTGTTTGTTTGTTTATTTACCTTAACTAGGGATTGAACCCAGGGGCTTAACCACTGAGCCACATTCCCCAGCCCATTTTATTTTTTGAGGGCCTCACTAAGTTTCTGAGGCTGGCTTTGAACCTGGGATCCTCCTGCCTCAGACTCCTGAGCCCCTGGGATGACAGGAGTGCGCCCCTGCACCCGGCTTTTATCAGGTGCTTTTAAACAATGGGTGTAACGGCTTTTTCAGAGGAATCTCTTGGTGAATTTAAAGCAGTGACTGTGCTGACTTTTAGTATGAATTCCCTGTTTTCAACAACACAGTAGTGCTTTAATTGCCCTGTTTTTTCTCGGGTTCCCTGAAACAAGTTGTTCCTGAATGTCTGCCAGTTGCCGGGCGCTTTCTTTCCCACGTGTGTGGATGGCACAGTCGTGGAGTGCGCCTGGTGTCTTCTCTGTTTCGCACCCCGGCGGCGCTCCCTGCGCGGGTCGCCTGTGGGACCCCACACCTGGGGCTGCAGCAGCGGGAGGCGGTGCCCTGCTCCTGCCCCGCCAGCTCTAACCCGCGACCTCTCTCGCAGGTGGAAATGCGACTGTTCCTGCTTGTGCCCTTGCTGCTGGCTCCCGCGCCCGGGTCCTCGGTGAGTGCAGCGCTCCCCACCCCCGGGGGACCCTGCGGAGGAGGCGAGGCGAGGCGAGGTGGGCTGGAGCCCATCGGTGGCAGCAATTTACCCAGGAGACAGGGGGGCAATGCTAGAGAATTGGGGAAAGAGGAGGCAACCCACATCTCTGTCCTCCAGCTCCTGTAGGAGTTCCCGGGACTGCCGGCAGGGAGGCAGGGAACAATCCGTAGGGATGGCAACCTGCCACCAATGGAATGCACCCTTCAGAAGGTGGTGGGTGCATTCCACTGGGCCCTGGCTAATGCTAAGAGAGGAGAGCCCTCTCTCGGTGGTGCTCCAAGGAGGAAAGTCAGGTGGGGACCATACCAGGACCAGTCAAGGTGTAGGGCAAGATGGCCCATCCCACCAGACACCTGCAGTCCACCTGGAACCAAATACTGCTGTCCCTCAGCTCCGCTATTTGAGTGTAGCTGTTTGGGGTGTTTGTCAACTTGCTCTGCCTTTGGGGTTTGCCCCTAAGCAGAACTGTCCAGTACAACCTTCTGAGAGGAGCTGCATCTTGGAGACGTTCTGATGTTCAGTAGGTGGCCTCTAGGTCCCTTGTGGCTATTGAACACTTGAAATGTGGCTATTGCCAGTGAGGAACTTTTAAATTTGACTTGGTTTTTGTTTAAATCGTCACATAATGGCTACTGGCTATGGTATTAGAGCAGAACTTAGTGGTCACAGGAAGCCAACTGGCCATCAGAGTAGCAAAGGGACCCAAAGGACAGGGTTCCTTGGAGAAGGTACCTGGGGCCTAAGGATATACAGGGAATGTTCTAGACTGCAGGAACCACTTTGGGGAGGAGAAAGTCTGTGGAGTTGGGTGCTGCCCTGGCTTGCTGGACAGAAAAGAGAGCATAGAGATAGCCCCATTCTGCCCTTGGAGAGCTCTCACTGGGGAGACCACAGCCCTGCCCAGCCTCTGTGAGGCAGGCACAGGTGGGAGAGGAAGGACCCCCCCAAGAAAGGACCCAAACCTTGTGTCGCTGTAGGGAGGGCAGGGCTAATGCCACCTCTGTAGAATGCAGGAGGAAGATGAGCAGGGCAGGCCGGGATGGAGGTCCATGGTGGGCACTGAGAAGTGGTGGGCTACAGCCATCCTTCTCCACTACCTGCCACCTTCCCATGTCACCTCTGCTACCCTGTGACCCTTGCTTCCTAAACGCTACACTCAGATCCTTCAGGGAGTTCTGATGTCCCAGCTGCATGCAAGTCAAAGCCCAGGTGGAGGGGCCATCATGATCCCAGGACAAAATCCCAATGTATGACCCTAGCCAAATCACCAAGCCTAAGATTCCCCTAATTTGGGAGTTTCAATGCCCATCACTCAGATGAAACAAACCAGAGCCCCCTGGGTCCTTTTTCCCTTAGGAATACCTGGAGTAATCTCTTGCCTCCTCCTATTCCCAGCATCTAGTCCCAGATGGGGCTGGTCATGGCCTGGGCTGAGAACCCTGCTCCTGCTGTCCTCTACCCATCTGGTGAATGGGGTCTGGCCCAAGCTGGAAGCTCAGCTGCTTTCATTTCTGGTTCCAGCTGGGACAGGGTCTCCCATAAGATTCCCAGCACCTGGGGATCATTCTCAGTGCTGAACAGGGGTTGACTTGGATGATTTAAGGAGGCAGCTGGCCTCCATTCCCACAATTAAAGGCTGGTGCCCCAGCCTCCATTCCCACCTGCCTCCTCTCCATCTCTCTCCCTCCCCAATACACCACCTTAAGCTGATTCCCCTGGAAGCAGTGCAGCAGAAAGGGGGCTCCTGATTTGCTCCTGGTGGGGGCGGGGTGGATGTTGAACACAGCACAGGGCAGGCAAGGACAGGCCCAGGGCGAGGCTGGCTGCATCAGCCCTTTCTGGCTTCACACCATCATACAGCTCGTGGTCTGGGTAATTACAGGGAATAAAACATGCTGGTGCCACTCGTGACTAAACATGTTCCTTCCGTGGAGAGATGGGACGGAGAGGGGCACAGCACAGCGGGGGGAATCACCCAGGCTAGGGCTCTCCAACGCTGACTGCTGGTGGCCTGGCACATAGATGCCATTCTCATGGGTGCTGGGTGCAGGAAGCCGGAGAATGTTTGTAAGGCATCTCACCTTCGAGAGAGCCCTGTGTTCATGCAGGGCCTGGTGGCACAGTGACTCAAGAGGTTGAGGCAGGAGGATCCCAAGTGTTTGAGACCAGCCTTGGCAACTTAGTGAGACCCTGTCTCAAATAAAAATTAAAAAGGACTGGGCTGGGGTTGTGGCTCAGTGGTAGAGCGCTTGCCTAGCTTGTGTGAGGCACTGGGTTCGATTCTCAGCACCACATAAAAATAAATAAAGGCCCATCAATGACTCATAAAATATTTTTTAAACAAGGACTGGGGGTGGGGGCTGGGGTTGTGGCTCAGCAGTAGAGCACTTGCCTAGCACATTCAAGGACCTGGGTTCCATCCTCAGCACCACATAAAAAATAAATAAAATAAAGGACTGGGGGTGTAGCTCAGTGGTAGCTAAGTGTAGCTAAGTGGATTCAATCCACTGTACACCCACACACCCTGTATTCAGACCAGTCCCCACTTCATCCTGATGGGCACAAGGTGACTCCGTGGTAGGGAGGTCCCACTTCACCTTGACCGCATCAGCTTGCCCAGCCCAGCCCGGCCTTAGGGAAGGGGGGATTTGGAGAAGCTCAGGTAGCTGGACGAGGGAACCAAGACAGACATCCAAAGGGGCCTGGGTCAGAGAACCAGAGCTAGGCCCACACCCACAGGGAGAGAAGGCTCAGCCCTCTCACCACGGGGTGGCCAGGGCTTGATGCCTACGGGGAAGAGGTGTTGGAATCCGGGCCTGCACTGCCCCTCGTCCCTGGGAAGCTACTGGCCACTGCTCAGTCACTTCCTTTTTAAACTAGAAACTTAATCCAAGTAAAATCAGCTTCGATTTCGTTGAGGGACTACTTTGATACTTGGCTCACTGGTTTTGAAAGCTTATCGCCTTTGTGGCAGCGGGAACTGAAGATGATGCTCAAGACTGAGAACAGAGCCCTCTGGTATGCCGGGCTCAGCAAGTTGAGTGCAGACTTCTCTGCCTGGAGTTCTGGTCAGTTATTGAGCAAGGGTGACCAGGTGTTCTGCGCTGGAGATGAGCAGCCCTCACCGGAGACCACTGTAACAGTCCCAGCAAGAAGAGCTCACGTTCCCACCTGAGCGTTCTCTAAAAATGGGGGGGGGGGCTTTCTATTCCTGAAGAGTCTTATGTGGCAATACCCTCAAATAAAGTCCTCTTCCAGAAAATGGGACGTGTTTGCAGTCCATCATCTGCTTCCTGGCAGATTGTGAAGGCAAGTCAGATTCCTGTCCAGCTCCTTAGGACTTACCTAATGTTTCATTTGGCCGCCCCTGAGAGGCAGGCAGGGAGACAGTCCCACAATGACAGCCTGGCCGTTATGCCCAGTCGTTCCTGTGTGGCTTCCTGTCTTTCTGCCTCACATTTGTTATGCAGTGGGTTCTATTGGGTTGTTCTGAGGATGAAGTGAGAGAATATGGGTGTCATGTGTGGACTTCTGATGCTAGCTGCAAAATGTCAGATCTTTCTGGTTCCCAGGACTTAGAATCCTTCTTTATGAAGCCTCTAGTCCTTCATTCCCCCACAGATTAAAAGGCTGCTCCAATTCCAGCCATCACATCTGTTTTCCAGTCATCGGGAAGGCATGAGGAGGAAGAAGAAAAGGATAAATACACACGCAAGCCCAACACTTTTACTTACATGACACTGGTGAGAATTTAGTGATGTAGCCACAGTTAGCTGCAGGAAGTTAAGAGAATTTGGCTAAAAGTCAAGTTTTCAAAGATTCTCTCATAATGGGGGAAGGGGAGTGGCTATTGAGGTACTCTTGGAAGTCTCTGCCACAGATCAGCAGGAAGAGACCACAGCAGTCTCCCTCCAGGATTAGATTAAGTTCCCAGTTTCATAGGCTAGAGCTCTAGAAACTTCTAGAAACAAGTGCCACCAGGCTTGGTGTGGGAACCTGGGGAAGCATTTCTCTGCCTGTGGGTGACATTCCCGTCCTACTTGAGGCCTTCCTGCCCTTTTATATGTCCATTTTTGGGGGCTCATGCTCATGATCAGTGGGCTGCAGACCCTTTAGTTCTAAGCTAGGCTCTGGCCAGAGTATATCATTGTCAGGGGGAAAAGTCTCTGTTCCTGGGTTGGCAGTTTCCCTACCATGTCTGGCAAACAGTAGGAGTTCAAGAGATGCTGCTGGTACTGGCTACTTTGCCAGGTAAGAAAACCACAGCTGACTGAGGTTAGGTGATGACCCAAGGACATGCAGCTGTGTGTCCCTGTCTTATATTGATCCCTTTTTTCCTTTAAGGTTCCCTCCCCACATCAATGTTGACCCACAAAAACCTGTGCACAGCCCGGCCATAAAGCCCCTCACCCAGGGTAGCAGGCCCTGGAAGTTCTGGCCCTTCCCTGATGCATGGACCCTTTTAACACCCTCTCTCCCACACTCAGGCCTGACTTAGTTCCTATGATAAAGCCTCGTTGATTTAATTCTTCTTATTTTATTTTTTGGTACCAGGGATTGAACCCAGGGGCACTTGACCACTGAGCCACATTCACAGCCCTTTTTATTTTTTATTTGAGACAGATGCTTGCTAAGTTGCTTAGGGCTTTGCTAATTTGCTGAGGCTGGACTTGAACTTGTGATCCTCCTGCCTCTGCCTCCCAAGCTGCTGGGATTACAGGCCTACAGTGTGCCATCAGGCCACTCTGAAGCTTGCTACTTTTGTAAGTGAGCATTTTGGGATGCCAGGGCAGTGTTGCTGTGTCCTACAGGCCTTTTGAACAGGTAAGGGAGTGGTTTTAGGCAAAGGGCCCTTATGGGGGCTCCTAGCTCAAGTCCCTGATGGGTGATGCTGACTCACAAGCCTGAGCATGCCTTTTTCAGGCTCCCAAGGTGAGGCGGCAAAGTGACACCTGGGGCCCTTGGGGCCAGTGGAGTCCCTGCAGCCGGACCTGCGGAGGAGGCATCAGCTTCAGGGAGCGCCCCTGCTACTCCCAGAGGTAGGGGAGACTAAGGATTGCCCAAAGAGGGCAGGTGCAAGGGAGGCCGGTTACTGGGTCAGGAGCGAGGCATCAGGGGCCAGCAAACGACATTCATTTTGGAAGCAGCCTCAGTGGAGTATAGGAAAGCAAATCATTTCCTGTGTACTTACCCACCCATTTCAACCATCAGCCTTGATTTGGAGGAACTGGAGCTGGTCTGCTTTTTCCACCCCTGAGCCTCAGGCTCCTCATTTGCAGTAAATTGTTATGTTTTTAAAAAAATTTTTTAATTCCCGTGGTTTTTATTATTATTTTACCTCCAGCAGCTTTGTCAAGTGTAGATGTTCGCCACTTAAGTGATATTATTAAGCACTTAGTATGTGCTCTGCACTCTGATGGGTTCTGTGGAGGAGGTGGGGACCAAAAGAAGAGTGTGTCCTTCCAATTCATTCCTGAGAACATGTGTGAGAAGAGGGTGGGGTGAGAGGGAGAAAAAAACGTGTTATTCTAAGTGCCCTACACTTATTCACTCCGTAAATTTTAAACTAGTCTCACAGGTCGGTAAATATTACGTCCATTTCCAAGGGCAGAATTTGGATCTTCCCTGGAAATTTGCTTTAAAGAGGCCTGATGGTGCCGAGTTAGACCAAATGCAGCATAGTCAGGCTTCTGTCACTTCTCCCGGAGGAACAGGACTAATGGTGCCCACCCAAGGGGATTTGTGTGTGCGCACACCCCTCCCCATCTAGCCGCCCCTCTGACCCAGCCTTGCCCACCTGGAAGCCCCACCAAAGCTGGGGGCCTGCAGGAGGGCCCAGGATGGGGCGGGATGTTGGGGTCTTCCTGGTCTTCTGCCCGCAGGAGAGATGGAGGCTCCAGCTGCGTGGGCCCAGCCCGGAGCCACCGCATTTGCAGCACCGAGGTAAAGGTCACCTCTCCAAGGCGCACCCGGCTGAGGCCCCCGGGGCACCCTCCCTTGGTGGCTCCTGAGCGCCTTCTGCACCCGTACCCCGGGGAGAGGCCTTGAGCGCCGCAGCTGGCTGGGGCGCGGGCCGGAGGCTGAGGACCCAGGGCTCCAGGCACGGGCGGTGGGAGGGGACAGGTCCCGGCCTCCGGGGCGCCCACGCTGGGACCCACTTTCCTGCTCCGGCCCCGCAGAGCTGCCCCGACGGCGCGCGGGACTTCCGGGCCCAGCAGTGCGCCGAGTTCGACGGCGCCGAGTTCCAGGGCCGGCGGTACCGGTGGCTGCCCTACTACGGCGGTAAGCGCCTGGCGTCTAGGGGGCTTCTGTGCACACCGACTCGCAGTCCTTGTCACCATACTTTAGACGCCTGGTCACATGTGTCTTCCAGAATCTCCAGTACCCTTAGCCCGTGCCCTTTGCAACACAGCACGGTTGTCATTTTGACGCCTTTGGGGACCTTTCCCGTCTCTGCATGTATTCTGAACGCTGTGGTCTGCAGCGTTTGGAGCGGTTTTGTTCAGCCCAAGGCTCTCTGCCCGTTGCACAGAGGTGGAGATGGGGAGGGAGGGGTAGGATCGGTGAACCATGGTGCAAACTGCAGACAGGGTTTGGTTGAGAAGACCCCATTACCCCCATCTGGGGCCTGAGGACAGGGTCTGGGTAACGCTGAGCAGGGTGGAGGTCGCTAATTTTTAGAAAGATACAGTTCAAGATAAAAACACCAACGTGTATGTAATTAAGACATTTAGAGAAGTCAGAAGCCTTGCGATGACCCTGAGTGTGTGTTTTCACTACTGGAGACAAATGACATCAGTGAACACCGAGTATTCTGTCCTCTGTGTGTGCTGTGTGGGGGCTACTCTGACCAGTAGGGATGCCCCCTGCAGCCCCTGGGAGGTGGGAGGAGCTTTGGCATTCAGTAATCCTGCCGCATCCTAGGGTGGATATGTGCAAAAAATAATTCTTATCTATCCACATCATAGAAAAATGGAAACAGGAAAAAAATGTTAAAAATAGTCTAGGTAGGTGCTGTGGCTCATGCCTGTAATCCCAGTGGCTTGGGAGGCTGAGGCAGGAGGATTATGAGTTCAAAGCCAACCTCAGCAAAAGTGAGGTGCTAAGCAACTCAGTGAGACCCTGTCTCTAAATAACATACAAAGTAAGGCTGGGGATGTGGCTCAGTGGTTGAGTGCCCCTGAGTTCAGTCCCTGGTATCCCCCCACCCAAAAAAAAAAAAAAAAAGTCTAGGAGGTCCTCCTCATTGTGGAGTTGATTAAAGTCCTGTTATCACTTTGGCTGTTCATGTGTAATACCTAGATAGTAAATACAAGTGCCCTACCCTCACAGCCTCTTACCATCACTGTCAGCAGTCCATGCTAGCTCTTTTTACATTTTCTCTATATTGTTTGCATATGGGCAATTATTACACAGTAATTTCCATTTTTCTTTTCCCCTTGTGCTGAGTATCAAACCCAGAGACTGACACATGCTAGCCAAGTGTTCTGCCACTGAGCTGCCCCCTCAGCCCTCTTTATTTTATTTTGAGACAAGGTCTTGCTAAATTGCCCCAGCTGGCAACTTGGTATCCTCCTGCCTCTGCCTCTGGAGTAGCGCAGGTGCCACTGTGCCCAGCATCATTCTGTGTTTGAAAGTGTTTTCCCATTTAAATGTACAGTCTCCATAATCCTCACTTGAACTGCGTGGTCAAGCACACATAACACTTCCTTGATAATCAGGGTAGACTATGAACACCTGAGCTACTCTCATGCTGGGGTAGATCTCCTTAAGAGTGTAGCTTTTTCTTTATTCTGGGATTTCTCCTTGACTGGGTCCCCAGAGACCCAGATGGGGGACATCTCTTCTGCTTGGGATGAGGGTGAGATTCTGTGCCACCTTGGGGGCTGAGGCAAGGGCCTCATCTCCCAGTCATACATGAGCTCCTGGGCCTGCCTGAGCCTCCCTGCTTCAAGGCCAGGCCTTGGGCCCAGATCTCAGCTTTGCCCTCTTGCCCATCCTAGCCCCAAACAAGTGTGAGCTGAACTGCATTCCCAAGGGGGAGAACTTCTACTACAAACACAAGGATACCGTGGTGGACGGGACACCCTGCGAGCCTGGCAAACGGGATGTCTGTGTGGATGGCAGCTGTCGGGTGAGTTGTGTCTCCCCCCCCTGAGCTGGCTGGAGGCCTCTGCGGATACCTGTTCACCACCAGCAGGGCCAGGTGGCTGTCAGGAGCCCAGTGTCTTCTCAAGTTACCAGGACACCAAGCCCAACTCTGAGGATGCTTTATAGCTATCACAGATGACCTCTCATCCCCTTCTCCTTACCCCTGAAGAATGCTGACCTTGGGCTGGAGTTGTGGCTCAGTGGTAGAGCGCTCGCCTAGCATGTGTGAGGCCCTCGGTTTGATCCTCAGCACCACATAAGAATAAATAAATAAAATGAAGATATTGTGTCCAACTAAAAAATAAATATTAAAAAAAAAAGAATGCTGACTTGTAAAAGGAACTCTGGGTGGCATGCTAAAACTGACTTCAGTAAAAATCAAACCCATGCCAGGCACGGTCATGCAAGCCTGTAATTTCAGTGGCTCAGGAGGCTGAGGCAGGAGGATTGCAAGTTCAAAGTCAGCCTCAGCAATTTAACAAGGCTCTAAGCAACTCAGCAAGACCCTGTCTCTAAATAAATATAAATAAAGGGCTGGGGATGTGGCTCAGTGGTGAAGCGCCCCTGGGTTCAATCTCCAGTCCCAAAACCAAACAGAAACCAACCCCAACCAAACCCATCACTAAGGGATGGCTGTAGGTGCTTGGATGGTAGTGCTGGGACTCTCTCCTCTTGGTTTTGCTCCTCTCTGGGTCAAAGTCAGGCAAATTCTTTCCAGGAGGTGTAACAAGATGGCCTCCCACAGCTTCAGGTCCCTGTGGTACCAGCTGGCAACTGCAGGGCATGGCCACTTTCCCAGGAGTCCCAGCAACTTGGACTGGCCTCTGATCTGAAGAGGGCGATTGACCTGCTGGTTTGCCAAAGCCACGTTTGGGGAGCTCCCTCCAACTTGTGTGAGGAGAGGTGACCTCCAGTGGAGTTAGGGTGTAGTCACCAGAGAAAGGGAGACACTACAGGCCAGGTGTGCTCAGCCGTCCCTGGCTTGCAACTGAGTAACTCCCGAGCACCTCTGTCCTGCCTGGTCCGTGTCCCCTTCTGCTTTCTCATATCCCTCCCTGGCAGGTTGTCGGCTGTGACCACATGCTAGACTCATCCAAGCAGGAGGACAAGTGTCTGCAGTGTGGGGGTGACGGCACCAGCTGCTATCCCGTCACGGGCACCTTTGATGCCAATGACCTCAGCAGAGGTAGGGGGCCCCTGTAGGGGGGTTCTGTTGCCTGCCTGGCGCTGGCCTGTCTTCCTCTCTGGACCAGGCTCCAGGCCAGGTGGCTTCATGACCACCAGTGCGTCTGTTGGGTCTCATCCTAACAGCTCCCTGTGGCTGCAGGGAGGAGACCACACTCTCAACTACTTGTCCATTCTGATCTCATGCTGTTGACACCGAGAAGCCGCTTCTCATCCCTTTCCCCCTGGTCCCCACCCTGTCCCTGCCCCCTCCCCAGTCTTCCTGTCTCTTTGGCCTTCATAAAGCTTTTCCTCTGTCAGGAACACTGACCCCCAAGCAGCCCAGCCTGCCTGTCCCCCCTCCCTTCATCTGTGCCTCTTGGCACTTGAACCCCCAAGGACAGCTCCTTCCTGGGGTCTGAGGGGTGCCAGACAAAGTAGCTCAGACCCCCACCCCTGAATCTCTGCCCATCAGGCTACAACCAGATCTTCATAGTTCCCATGGGGGCCACCAGCATCCGCATCGAGGAGGCTGCTGCTAGCAGAAATTTCCTGGGTGAGGCAGCAGTTTGGGTGCTGGGTGAGTTTGGTCTGTGTGGGAGGAGCCTCTGCCCTCAGGGCTGACCAGGGCACTTGTCCCTACACAGCGGTGAAGAATGTCCGCGGTGAGTACTATCTCAACGGGCACTGGACCATCGAGGCAGCCCAGGCCCTGCCAGTGGCCAGCACCATCCTGCAGTACGAGCGGGGTGCCGAGGGGGACCTGGCCCCTGAGCGGCTCCAGGCCCGTGGTCCCACCTCAGAGCCCCTGGTCATTGAGGTGAGCAGGGACCTGGGTGGCATAGGGACTGGCACACAGCTGGGCTGGGAGTCTCAGCCTGAGGCTGGCCAGTGGGACGGCCTGACCTCAGCAGGGACCCCCCTGCACAGCTCCTCAGCCAGGAGCCCAACCCCGGTGTGCGCTACGAGTACCACCTGCCCCTGGGCAGCCCCCAGCCAGGTGTCTTCAGCTGGAGCCACGGCTCATGGAGTGACTGCAGTGCCCAGTGTGGTGGTGGTGAGCACCCGGCCGGTGGCCAGGGGAGGGAGCAGACCCTGGGTTCAAGGCACTGCAAGCCACACAGGTGGGCAAGTAGCAGCTCTCTCAAGGCAGGGCAGAGGCAGTGAGGACTGGTAGGTGAAAAAATCTCAGGTTGTGGGGTCACCTTGGGGATACTTGGGGATCTGTAGGATTCCATGCAGGACCCCAAGAGGAGGACTTGACATTATTCCATTGGGAGTGGAGGGCAGGCCAGCAGCTGATGACCAGGTGTCAGGCTCAGCTGTCACTCTTGGCTAAGACTCTGAGCCTTGGTTTCCTCATCTGTAAATTGGGGGTGATGATCAGGCCCACCTGAGAGGGTTGTCTGATACTTAATCAGGATGACCTTTGGGTGGAGTCCAGAGCAGTGCCTGGCCCAGAGAAGGAGTGTTTCCTGAGAGTTGACGGACGGCTGCCCTCCTTGGCTCTGACCCCACACAGGTCACCAGTCCCGCCTGGTGTTCTGTACCATCGACCATGAGGCCTACCCCGACCACCTGTGCCAGCGCCAGCCTCGGCCGGCTGACCGTCGCCCCTGCAATCCTCAGCCTTGCCCGCAGACCAAGCGGTGAGGCCCTTGTGGGCCCCTTCCACTCGTGGTGGGGCCCAGGAACCTGGGTGGGAAGGGAGGGGGGTGTCTAAGGTGCTTTTGGAGTAGGACAAAGAGGTTGGGGGGCCCAGGGCTCTGCAGAGCTGTGGCTGGGGACTCTGAGGGAGTCCATGAAGGGCCCTGAACATGAGGCCCAGGGCCCTTCTCTCCACCCTCGTATGTCCACGGGGTCCTCAGAATGTCCAGGCTGGTGGCAGCGGGCTGGGGACAGTCCTGGAGGTCCCTGCCTGAGTCACAAGGGGCTTAGCTTGGCACATGCTAGGGATGAGCCAGGGGTCTGGCTAAGGGCCTGTCGGCAGCAGCAATGCCTTTGTTCGTGCACAAAGGATCTCTTACCTGCACCGGCCCGGAGCCTGGCGCCGTGCTGGGGCCCAGCGTGTGTGTGGGAACAGGTAATCTGGCCACGGGCTCCCGCAGTGCTGCCCACCGGCCTTGGTGGCAGCGATCCTTGTGAGCTGGTGGTGGGCTTGGCTTTGCATGGTGTGTGGGGGTCACCCTTTCCTCTAGGGCCACACGTTGGGGAGCCATCTAAGACTTTCCCATCTAGGGTTGGACACAAAGAAACGGCCTGGCTGGGGCGCTGGGGACCTGGTGAGAAGAAAGAGGGATCTGGGGTGAGCAAGGATAGGGACGCTGAGGAGCACCGGCCAGGCTCAGTGGTCAGGATCCCTCAGATGGCCATTGAACGGTGGGGGCATGCCTGGGAGGGCCTCCTGTGATCTTTATGCAGAGCTCTTTGTCCCCACCCTCAGGGTCCTGGATGTTCAGAGGGTGGGCAGGGCTGGAGTTAGGGTCCTCCCGACGCGTCTGCTCCTGTGTGTGAGGGCAGCTGCTCCCAGGCCAGTCTTACCCAATTTCCACCCTCACCAGCTGGAAGGCAGGGCCGTGGGCGCCCTGCTCAGCCTCCTGTGGAGGTGGCTCCCAGTCCCGCTCTGTCTACTGTGTCTTGTCTGATGGGGCCGGCGGCCAGGAGGCAGCTGAGGAGGCCGCGTGTGCGGGCCTGCCCGCGAAGCCCCCGACCACACAGGCCTGCAACCTACAGCGCTGTGCAGCTTGGAGCATGGAGCCCTGGGGAGAGGTGAGGCCCCTGGCCCTGACCAGGCTGGAAACCAGAGCTGGGCCTTAGGCCTGGGCAGCAGCAGGCTGGGCTGGAGGCTTGTCCTCTGCTGTGGAAACTGAGATCCTGGGCAGGTGGCAGTGGTCTCTGAGAGGGTCAGTGAAGGGCCCTGAGCATGAGGCCTGGCACCTCATAGGTGGCTGTCTTGGAAGCTGTGACCAGGGATGACTAGAAGCAGGTTCCTGGATCCTGGTCCTGGGCTGGATGGGAAGCCTCGGCCTTGGCCTGAAGCAGCAGCTGAGCATGTAGTTTGAGGGCAGGGGAGGGGCTTCCAGGGGCTGGGGCTGCTGGTCATTATTCAGCACCTACATTTGCTCAAGTTATAAATGAAGGGATGTGAAGAATGTCCCTTGGCCTGGTATCAGCTGCCATGGTCAGACTGTGTGACCTCAGGGGAGGACAGCCTCTCTGGGCCTGGGGTCAGGACACAGGCAATGGGATGAGTGTGCCCTATTCATACGCCAGGCCTGGTGGGCCTCGAGCTGTCCCACCCATCAGCGCCCCCTCGGGCGGCTCTTGCTGACAGCCTGACCTTGCAGTGTTCTGTCACCTGTGGTGCCGGCATCCGGAGGCGGAGCGTTACTTGCCGGGGTGATGAGGGGTCTCTGCTCCATGCCTCTGCGTGCTCCTTGGAGGACCAGCCGCCACTCACTGAGCCCTGTGTGCGTGAAGCCTGTCCCCTCCTCAATGTCCAGGCCTGGCATGTTGGCGCCTGGGGTCTTGTGAGTGTTTGTCCTTGCCCCTACCTGCTGACCCACCTGGATCTGATGTGCACCGTGGGGTGCCTTCCCTTCCCCCTCTTCCTGTGGGTGCCCCAGCCTTAGAGTCCCTATCTTCCCACTCCCACCCTTGGCCCCAGTGCTCCAAGAGCTGCAGCTCTGGGACTCGGAGGCGACAGGTCATCTGTGCCATGGGGCCGCCCAGCCACTGTCAGAACCTGCAGCAGGCAAAGCCCACGGAGGTGGAGACCTGTAACCCGCAGTCCTGCCATCTTCCTCAGGGTGAGGTCGCGGGAGGGCGGGCCCAGGACTGACCTTCCCACTCACTGCACACCCAGCTGCACTCCTGCCGGCAGCCCCCGACCGCCCTCTCTGCCTCTGTCTGCTGAAGCCTTTGCCCTTGCAAAGTCTATCTTTCTGCAACCTCAGAAGCCAGCCCTGCTTTCCCGCACGGGGCAGCAGTGTCTTCCCCTCATCCCCACTGCCCCCAGCGTGCTTCATGTCTGTGCCACTCATGTCATGCTGCCGTGGTGGTTGGCATACAGCTGCTGCTGCTGTTGCTTTGTTTTTTGGGTACTGGGGTTGAACCCAGGGGTACTTAACCACTGAGCCGCACCCCCAGCCCCGACCCCTTTTTAATATTTTATTAGAGACAAGGTCTCGCTGAGTTGCTAAGTGCTTTGCTAAGTTGCTGAGGCTTTCTTTGAACTTGTGATCCTCCTGCCTGACAGGTCATCTGTGCCGTGGGGCCACCCAGCCACTGTAGGAACGTGCAGCAGGTTCCTAAGCTGCTGAGATTATAGGTGTCCTCCACCGCACGGGGGGACATATAGCTTCTTAGTCCTATTAGCTATAAGCTCTTTGAGGATGGTGTCCATGACTTCCTGTTCCTCCTTATGTTCCCCACAGAATGTACCTAGCAGGAGAGAGGTACTCGGCAATTGTTTGTTGAATGCCTGGGTGCAGGGGGAAGGAAGGGCGTCCAGGTACGGGCATCTGTGGAAGGAAGGGCACAGGCCAGCATTTGCTGGTGTGCAGATGGGTCATTGAGGAATGGGGTGGGTTGTAGCTGAGCTGAAGGGGAGGATATGGTAGAAGTGCTAGTGATCGGGACTATAGGGACCTTGAGGTGGGGACGACAGGGTGCCAGTGGAGGTGTATGGCAGGGGGCCAAAGAACCATGAGTCCACAGCAGAGAATTTTATTCGCTCTGGACTGACCAGTTGTATGGCCCTCAGCAAGCACTCTCCTCTGATAGTGCAGGCTGTGGTGGGTCCCAGGTAAATGGCGGTGGTGTTAGTGAGCCTCGGTGGGCAGGCCTAGCCACAGTGACCATCTGGAGGGTCCTCAGGGCCAGACCTTGGGCCTGGATTCTGGCCTCACCAGCAGGAAGGCACTTGGGACCCAGGTGTGGGTCTCTGGGTGGAGCTACTCTGCTGTCCAGGGCCCTGATGGCTTCCTGGAAGAGGCAGTCTTGAGCCTGCACCAGGGACAAGTAGGGGTCACATAGTAAAGCAGGAAAGGTCCCTCTCGGGCCAGGCTGAGAGGGAAGAGAATTCAATACATTGCTATTCTTATAACTGTAAAATAATGTTTGTTCAGTGTGAAAGTTTTGGAGAAATTAGAAAGTAATATGTAAAGAATTAAAATTGCCTTGAACTCTATCCATTCATGGGATTCATCTTTAAGGTATTTCCCTGAAATGTGTATGTAATTCCGATTCTGATTCTGCCCCGTCATTCTATTCTCTCGGTGGGCATTTTCCAGCTTCATGATCTCTAGGACTTCCACAGAAGTTCACAGGGTGATCACTTAGAATCTAGGTGGTTTTTGGTGTTTGGGGTAATTAATACCCTAGAGCCTACTGGTGTGTGTCAGAAGGAAGGGGAGTGGTTTGGGGCTGTCCCTTGGGGAGACCCACTGAGGGTTAGGTGTCCAAGTGCCCTCTGCTTCCTCTTCTTTCTAGGCCCTAGAGCAGTACTCTCCACAGGAAGTAGAATCTAAGTCATGCATATCAATTCAGACTTTCTAGAGCCCCATTAAAAAAGCAAAAAGGTGACCTGAGAGTGAAGTTCAGGAGTAGAGCATATGCCCAGCATGTCTGCAGCCCTGGATTCTGTCCTCAGGGCTGCAGGGGAAAAAAAAAAGTAAAAGTAAACTGATGAATTTATATTTAAGAATATATTTTATTTTCTGTGTATTCTAGTACATTCCTGTAATTCCAGATATTCAGGAGACTGAGGCCGTAGAACTGCAAGTTTAAGGCCAGCCAAGGCAACTTAGTGAAACCCTGGCTCAAAATAAACATTTTAAAAAGGGCTGGGAGGGGTGGGGATATAGCTCAGTTGTAGAGTGCCTGTCTGGTGTGCCCAAGGCCCTGGGTTCAATCCCCAGCAACACACACACACACACACACACACACACACACACACACGGGCTGGGGATTCAGCTCAATGATAGAGTGCCCCTGGGTTTAATTTCCAACTGCAAAACAAATAATATATTTTATTCAATCCAATATAAATATTTTCAGTATGTATTCAGCATTTTTGGGGGGGAGGGTACTGTAGATTGACCCCAGGGGCACTTTACCACTAAGCTACATCTCTGATTCTTTTTCTTTTTTGAGATAAGGTCTTGCTAAGTATGCCTGGCTCAACATAAAAATGTTTGAGAGTTTGCATATTTTCTCTCTCTCTCTCTCTCTCCCCTCCCCCTCTCCCCCTCCCTCCCTCCCCCTCTCCCTCCCTCCCTCCCCCTCTCCCCCCCCAGTACGGGGATTGACCTCAGGGCCTTGTGCTCTACCACTGAGATGCACTCTAGCCTTTGTATTCTCTTTTACAAAATTAAAACCTGTCTTCAAAATTTAATGCATAATTTATACTTACGGCTCCTATTAATTCAGATGCTAAATTTTCACCAGAATACTTACTATAAAACTAGATTTCATGACATTTGGAGCCCAAGTTATTACAAACATACTTAAGTGTTTTTCAATAAGTGAATCAATATTGATTTTAAAATTTAGTTGTTTGTAATTAAATGAAATTGAAGACTCAGTTCCTCCATCACTTAGCCACATTTCAAGTACCCAGTAGCTGTGAGACCAGGAGGGTCCTCAGCCCTGGGGATGAGGTGATGCTCTTAGGGCTGGATGGATGCCGAGGGCTTCAGGCTTGGGACTCGAAAGACCCAGGGGAGACATTGACTGGAGCTAGAGGGAGTCACTGTGAAATTTGAGAGTACAAGTTTGGCCCCTGCCTGAGGATCAGACGGAAGTGGAGACAGATGAGAAGATGCAGGCATCTCTGGGAGCAGACTGCAGGAATTCATGCACTAGAAAGAGCTCTGGGACCTTTCATGCACGAGGCCCTGGGTTCCATCACCAGCACTGTTTAAAACAAAGAAAAATGGTGGGAATGAATGGCAGGTGTGGCCCATGAGGGCTCGCTGCCCAGGGCCTGGACTGAGCTAAGCCTACAGAGGTGGAAGAGTCGTATGAGGGGAAGCCAGAGGGCAGAACAGGCTTGGCACAGATGCCTTTAAATTTGAGGTGGCCAAAGGACAACGGACAGATTCCAAGGTTGTGAATACAGGGCCGGAGAGATGGTGGGCACTTGTCTGTGGGAGATGCAGATATGGGAAAAACTGTAAATCGGCCTCATCCCAGGTTCTGACCTGGCTATGTTAAGAAATAAAATTAAGGATCTTACTGCACACCTCTTGGTATCTTCCAATCCTAAATTACTATTTTCAATGTTCCCAGGGACTGGAAGCTGTATCCATGTAGAAAGGGAATATTCACTTATCTATTCTAATTACTCTGTTACATAGTAACATGCTTACTGTAGAAAATTAGAAAAAAATCTGTACAGTAAGCAGCCACATACCCACCATCTAACTTGTACATTTAGATGTTTTTAAAATTTTTAATATGGAATTTTAAAAACTGAGGTCAAACTTATATAATATACGGTGGTTAACTCTTTTAGTGTATGTTTGGTGATGTTAATGTTATTTTTTTTAGCCTTTTTTGCATATAGACATCCTAGGGGGGCCAAGTGTTATCTCATTGTGGTTTTGATTTGCATTTTTTTTTTTTGTTATGCTGGGGGATTGAACATAGGGCCTTATGCATGCGAGGCAAGCACTCTACCAACTGAACTATGTCCCCAGCGCTGCAGTTTCTTAATGACAAGCAATGATGAAGATCTTCTTATATGCTTGACTATTTGTGTATGTTTAGAGAAATGTCTAAGTTCTTTGTTCATTTTAAAAATTGGATTATTTATCTTTTCATTGTTCCATTTTGTGTGTGTGTGTGGGGGGGGAGGTTCATACCCAGAGCTTTAAGCGTGCTTTACCACTGAGCTACACCCCCAGCCCAATTAAAAAAAAAAATCTACCATATTTTGCTTTATGTGGTGGGGATGCTAATTTTGTATTTGGCTCTTCTTTTTGCTGGACCCTGCCCTCTACACTCATTGTGTTGGTTCCGTGCAGAGGTCCCCAGTGTGCAGAACTTGCATGCTGGTCCCAGGGACTCCTGGATGCCTTTGGGTCCTCAGGAAGCTCCAGCCTCAGGTGAGAAGCTGGGCCTCGGCTGCCTACCCAGGGCTTCTCATCTTTATGTCTGAGTAGGTGGTACCTGGAGGTAGAAGTCAAGGGTGGGGATGTACCAATGGCTGAGAGCAGTGGTTTAGGGGAAATGGAGGAGAGTAGGTTAGATGTGGACATGAATGGAGGGAGAGGAACCAGGTGGACACATCAGTGTGGCTTTTGCTTTGCCTTTATAGACTCCAGAGACCAGCGTTGGGCTGCTCAGGAACGGCCCTGGCTCCAGAGCAATCCCAGACGGGACCAGGGCCTCCAACTGTCAGCCCTGGGCCCAGCCCCCTCTCTGCAGCAGTCCCCCCACTGGCTGCCCCCAAGGTCTGGCTCAGGGACTAGTGACTGCAGACACAGTCCCCATGGGTGCTGCCCAGATGGCCATACAGCGTCTCTTGGGCCACAGTGGCAAGGCTGTCCTGGGACTGGGGCCTTGTGTCAGCAGAGCAGGTAGGTGCTGGGGACAGTTCTTCACCAGGTTTAAAAGAAAAAAAAAAAGGGACTGGGCCTGTGGGTGGGCGGTATCTTCACCCAGAAAAAGGGATGGGGAGGGGGTTTCAGGGCTCAGGATTAGGACTCCCAGGGTTTTGTCTCTGAGCTGCCCTGATTGTGCAATCTTGGGGCCTTGGCTTTGGAGCTGGGTACAACTTCCTGTTTTCCCTGCTGAAATCAGCCTGTGGAGAGGAGGCCAGAGGCTTGGAGAGGGCGGAGGGGTGATTCTGGCTCTAGATCTGGACCTAGCTCTCTCTAGATCCAAGTCAGGCACAGGGAAGCTGGACCAAAGCTGACCCGTTCCCAACACCCCCACCCACTCCAGCCTGGCAGAGAAGGGCTGAGCCATTCCAACCTCTGCCAAATTCCCTGGGGCTAGTTTTTCTCCTTCCAAGGCTTGCCCTGGGCAGATGACCCTCAGGGCCTGGGGTGGAAGGGCCCAGGTTTTGGGGTCAGTAGCCTGGGGATGATTGTCAGCCCAGCCACTTACTAGCTGTGCCATGGGTGAGTTAAAGCAAGTTACTTAATCTCTGATCTTGGCCTCCTCTTCTGAGAACTGGGAACAACGGTGGCCACTTGGTGGGGATTGATGTGAAGGTGAAATAGGTTAGCAATTGGCACAGAGACAGTGCTTCACCACATTTCTTTCACCTTGCTTCCCAACACCTGGTTGGTGGAGGTGAGATAAATGGTGGGCTCCTTTTAACCCCCCTTTTTGCCATCTGCTATTGTTTTGTAAAAGCTCCTTGGGAGCCTGCTATTTTGACAGGCTCAGATGAATTCCCCTTCTTAATTCATGGTAGGGTGTGTGAATCAAGTATCAGTGTTCAGGGCTGTAGCCTGTGCTTACTGTAGCCCTCGCGGGCAGCCGCAAGGTGGTAGTGGACATGGGCAGAGGCAGGGGCACATGAAGTGGTATGCTCTTCCACCAGGGGTCTTACCCTCTATGCAGGGAGCCTCAGAACCTGCCTCCTGTGGTGCTGGAAGATGAGGCATGAGGGTCCCTGGAAGGCCGGGGTCAGGGCTGGGCACTGAGGGGTGCTGTGTGCTGTCTGCCTAGGTACGGATGCTGTCCTGATGGGGTGTCTGTGGCGGAGGGGCCCCAGCAGGCTGGCTGCACAAGATCTGGGAGCAGACCAGGGTCCCAGGCAGTGTCTTCCACGGTAAGCATCTGGGTCCTGTGAGAGAGGTACCAAGCTTGTCCCAGGATTTTTCCAGCTTTGACCTTGGTACAGGAAAGTTCCAGCAAGCTGGCTGGCCTGGGCCATCTGTTTGGGGGCACATGGCTTCAGAGATGGGCCTGGCTTATGGTTGGAGCTTCATTCCACATCCTCCTGGCCTCTGGTCACCCCCATCACTGAGGCTATGACCCTCAGACTTGTGGTCCTGTCTCTTCCTGGTTCCTGCTGCCCTTCCCCAGGCAGCCCAGGGTCCTCACCAAGAGCTAGACCTGTTTTCAGCCTCTCAATCCTGGGCTTTCTCTCCAGGTTCCTGAGGCCCATAGGCCCCAGGCCCAGCAGAATGAGCCCAGTGAGTGCCGGGGCTCCCAGTTTGGCTGCTGCTATGACAATGTCGCCTCTGCAACTGGCCCCCTTGGGGAGGGCTGCGCAGGCCAGCCCAGATATGGTAAGTGGACACACTCTTCTGGTCCTTCCCAGGAGGTGGCCTCTAGTCACACTGTGTCCTGCATTCCCACCCCCACCCAGTGACAGAGACCTGCCTGTCAGCTCATCCATTCCTCCCACAAATTCCCGAGTGCCTACTAGAGGTCAGGCCAGAAAACCGTGCGAGACTGTTCTTGTATCCAAGATTGTACTTGAGGCCTTCTGGCAGCTTTGGGAGTTAGAGAAAGTGGCAAGGAGGGATCCCGAGAAAAGAGAGGGCCCATGTTGTGCCTGGGAGTCAGCCTCGTCCTGAAGTGGAGACAGTGTCAGGGTGAGCAGAGCCGGGAAGGGCAGGAGTGGCCTTATCTTGCTTGGGACGTGGATGGGGCAGTGGGACAGTCTTGGACAGAGTGCTGGGGCCTGGGGGGGGGGTCATTGAGGCTGGAGCACGGGATGCATGGGTAGAGCTGCCAGGGACCACCATGCAGATATCAGAAGTCAGATAGGCTGGTGGTCAGGGTTTTACAGGAAGCCAGACACCTGGATGGGTGGCCATGGTCACATCTGAAAGTTGAGGTGGAGCAGGCCCTGCTGGCCAGGAGGGCTGTTAGAATGGGCGGGCTGGCAGCGGGGGGCAGGTTTGAAGGCTGGTGTAGAGTCCTGGGGACAAGGGTGGGCTCTTTGCTGGGTATTGTCACAGACCCACCAGGATGGGCACGGTAAGGTTAAGCTCTAGCTGGGGTGTCCAGTTTGGGAGGAACAAGAGGGACCTGGCCGAAGGAGCTGACAGCTGGCTGGGGCCTAGCTTAGGGCAAGTCTGGGCAGTGGACACTCTCAAGTGTTTTGTGTTCCCAAGGCCTGGTCAGTGGCCCAGGCAGGATTATAGTCACACTCCACAAACGGAGAAAGATGTGGTTCCCAAGTCTGAGGCTGAGGGGATGGTGGGTGCAGCTTTCATTGTCCACTTGGGTGACCCGTCTCACTCCTTCCCCTTCCAGCCTACCCTGTGCGGTGCCTGCTGCCCAGTGCCCTTGGCTCCTGTGCAGACTGGGCTGCCCGCTGGTACTTTGTTCCATCTGTGGGCCAGTGTAACCGCTTCTGGTATGGTGGCTGTCATGGCAACGCCAATAACTTTGCATCGGAGCAGGAGTGTATGAGTAGCTGTCGGGGGCCTCAACATGGACCCCACCATCCTGAGCCTGGGGTCTCTGGCCAGAGCACACACACAGATGGTGGCCGCAGCAGTCCCGAAGGCTCCCAGGAGCCTGGTCCGAACAGGACAGGAGCTACTGCTCCAAGACTGCCCTTGCCTTCTGGCGGCCTCTGGTGGAGAGAACAAGAGCTTGGCCCTGGGGAGGCCACCTTTGGAGACCGGCCTGGGGGCCAGGAGCTTGGTTCCAGGACCCCTGGACTGGGTGGAAATGCCAGACAGCCAGCGCCACCCTCCCACGGTTCTTCCTACAGGTGAGACCCACCTTCCCAAGGGAGAAGGATAGAGTGCCCAAGCCAGGCAGAGCTGGCTCGTCTTCCATCCCTAACTTCTGATCGCCACCTGTAACTTGCTTTCTATGGGTGGGGAAGCTGAGGCTTCAGAGACCCCATGAGACCTGGATATAGACTCCAGCTTCTGGGTTCCCTGTCAGCTCTTGCTGGTATCTAGGGCCTGTCTAGCTAGAAAATGTTGCTGGCTTCAAGTCACCCAGCTTCTCTGGGCCTCAGTTTCTTGACCTGTAACATGGTGATGTTATTTCCTGCCCTGAATTTCTCCTGGAGATTTGGTGTGGGTTCCATTCATTATTATTCTTGGGACTGGGTTATCATTAATAAGGGATTTGAAAAAAATGAAAAAACAAAACTTACAGGCCATAGGGTCAAGCATGTAGTCCGGCCACCTATGTGAATCTTATGTGGGGGTCACTCCTCAGCCTCCTCTCAGCCTCTGAGTTTCATGTGCCTTGTTGCTCTTGAAAGAGCAGGTTGAGGGGCAGCGCCTGGGCATGGTGGGCAGGTGGGAGGGGCTGGAGTCCTGAGTCCCTGGGGTGCTGGAGTTGGCTTCCCTTGGGACTCTCTGGCCCAAGTGTCTGTGACAAGCTGTTTGTTCTGGTGCCCAAGAGGTGGTCCCTGGCCCTGATGCCAGGGGGCAGAGCGTCACCTCTCACTTCTTCAGGATTAGCTTGGCAGGTTCGCAGCCCTTCCTGGTGCAGGCAGCCCTGGGGCAGATGGTGCAGCTTTTGTGTCCCAGCAACACCTCCCCGGAACCACAGGGTGGGTGGCAGAAAGATGGCCATCTTATCTCCTCTGACAGGTATGTTGAACAGGGACAGTCCTGTTTGTGTCTTTCCCTACAGTAGCCCCTCTGACCTTCCCTGGGACAGAGGTAAGTGGGCTCAGGAGTGCTCTGCAGAGCTGGGACCCACTCTGGGAGCAGCACTGGGGCCTGAGGGAGAACTCGTTGCCCTCAGGAGCCCTGAGCTCACATCGTCCCTCTTTCAATTCAGGCACCAGTTGCAGTCTGATGGCTCCCTGGTCATCAGCTCCCTGCAGGCAGAGGATGCTGGCATCTATAGCTGTGGTGGCCACGGACCAGGCAGTGACACCCAGAAGATCCAGCTTCGTCTCACAGGTGTCATAGGCCCCAGAGTGGGACTGGATGGGAGGGCCTGTGCTAGGGCTGTTCCCACCTTAGAGGGGCCTGAAGTGCTTCCATGGGTCAGCTTCTCCTGACGGCAGGAACCACACTGTGGCTCTCATTTCTCTACCCTTCCTTCCTTTCCCTTCTTTCCCAGCTCACACCTTGCTTCTCCTAACCTCATGACAGGGGAGGACATGGTGGTGCTGTCTGAGACTGAGCTGAGGCACTTTCCTCAGACCAGGGACCCAGTCCAGGACCACAGTTCTCAGGACTTCAGCCCGAGGAGGGATGCAGGGGGCCTGGGGGCTGTCTCCTCCTCACACCCACGGCCTGCAGCCAGGTAACAACTTGGCAGTGCCATCTTGCTCTCAGTCTCTCCCACCTGAGGGCAGGGACCATGGACTCCGTGGGTGAGAGAAGGGAAAGGTATATGTTGTAACCAGGCCGTGCTGGCTCCTGCATGGGGCTTTGCAAGGTGAGGATGAGAAACGTGGCTCTTTGAGCTAGACCTCATGGAGAGGAAGGGAAGCCCTTGCCTGTAAGCAGCTCTACAGGCCTGGGATGAAGGGAAGGGAAGGTAGCCAGAGCTAGAGGGCCCAGCCAGCTTGGAGGAAGAAGGCCTTGAGTCTTGGTTCAGTTTATGGAGGGTGTGTGGAAGGCTGATGGGGTGCCCAAGTCAAGGCCCTGGTAGCAAATGTGTAGGGTGGGGAGAAGACAGGGAGGTGGTGGGTATGTTTAGCCAGCCATGGGCTAAACGAACCCCAGTTAGTTACTGACTGTGTCCTGAGCAGAACACAGAGGTGATTGTAGGAAGCTGAATCTGGCTGGAGAGGAAGCTCACGTGGAGGCCCCATGGGAGTCAGGGAGGCAGCGGCAAGGGACTCTCATGGCTGTGGGTGGCTTGTTTCATAGGCTGCATCTGGACCGGACACAGCCTGCAGTGGTGGATGCCAATCCGGGTCAGCGAATCCGGTTGCCCTGCCGTGCTGAAGGCTTCCCTCCCCCGACCATCGAGTGGCAGAGAGATGGGCAGCCCCTCTCCTCTCCCAGGTTCACCTGGCTCCTCCCCACCTTCCTGTTCTGCCCAGCCCACCCCATCCTGTGGAGGCCTGAGCAGGACTCCTGGGCTCTTTGAGAGATGGATCTGGGAGTGCAGGGCTCCTGGGGTGGGCCAATATTTGGGTCTCTGGGTCTTTCCAGAGTGTGGTTGGTGGACAGAAATAAGAAGTGGGCTAACATAGGCCATGGCTGAGGAAGGAAATGGAGTCCGAACCCAGTTCTGATCACTTGCTAGCAATTATTGAGCACTTAGTGAGCTTTTCTCTCATATAAGTTTCAAAGGAGCCATACTCAGGCAGGTGCTCTTTTCTCTCCGTTGTGCGTATGGAGCTTAACATCACATAGCTCATAAGTGGTAGAACCAGTGTTAGAGCCTACTCGAGAATGGCAAAGTCTAGAAACCCAAACCAGAATTATATCTGAAAACTTGAAGAGATTTATTGTGAGGCTAAAAGCCAGGTATATTTGCAGTGAAGTGCTGGCAGCAGGAAGTAGTGAGGGCCTGAGGCCTATTGGCTCTTTGGTAGACCTCGGTTGACAGTAGGGGCCACTCAACCTCTGATCCCAGTCACTGTCTCTCCCTCACTCCCCTCCTGACCCCTGGAGCTGGAGCCAACCCATTGTGCTTCGTCTCCAGATACCAGCTCCAGCCTGATGGTTCTCTGGTCATCAGTGGAGTGGCTATGGAAGATGGTGGCTTCTACACTTGTATAGCTTTCAATGGACAGAACCGGGACCAGCGCTGGGTCCAGCTCAGAGTTCTGGGTAAGATGGCAGTTCTGAGTGGGGCCAATGGCCTTTGAGGTCATGTGGCATGGTGGGGCCAGAACTGGATAGTGTTTGACAGTGTCTCCTCCTGTGCCCAGGGGAGCTGACAATCACAGAGTTACCTACTACTGTGACAGTGCCAGAGGGTGACACAGCCAGACTGGTGTGTGTGGTGGCAGGAGAGAGTGTGAACATCAGATGGTCCAGGTAAAGCTCTATTCCAGAAAGTCCCTGCCCTTACAACCTCGGGTGTGGGAGGTCTACCTCTCTGCCAGGGCCATTGCTGTCACCACTGCCTCTGTGCCTAGCTCCATCCCCCCGCCAGGCCTTGTGCTGGGGTGGGGGTACAGTACCCTCATCCTACACGAGGAGGCCCTGTGGGACAGCTTGCTTTTCCACTGGTTAGGCTATAACAGGGTTTCTTAAGCTAAGTATCATTGACATTTGGACCAGATAAGTTTGGTTGTTTCAGTCCTATGCATTTCAGGATATTTAGCAGCAGCCAGGATGTCTACCTACTAGCTGCCAGTAGCCCATGTCCAGGTTGTGACAACAGAAAATATCTTCAGGCCGAGTGCAGTGGCAGACACCTGTAATCCCAGTGGATTGGAAGGCTGAGACAGGAGGATATTGAGTTTAAAGCCAGCCTCAGCAAAAGCGAGGCGCTAAGCAGCTCAGTGACATCCTGTCTCTAAATAAAATGTAAAGTAGGGCTGGGGATGTGGCTCAGTGGTGGAGTGCTCCTGAATTTAATCCCCGGTACTCCTCTCCACCCCCAAAATGTCTCCAGACATTGCCACATTCCCCTGGGTGGCCAAATCACCACCACTGTGCTGCATTCAACTTTGGGGAACTTCTGTGGTCTTTTATTCCAGATCAATCTGTCTTTTGTTCATTTAACAACCCCCTACCCCAGGCCCTGGAATGTGTCAGGATTATGTTGGGTTCTGGGGATTCTGGGGTCATTTAAGCCCTAGGGCACTCCCCGGCAAGAGCTGGCTCTGTGTCCCAGGAGCTCCCAAAGAGGAGTCCCAAGTGCTATCTGTGCACAGAGGAGATGAGGCTGCTTTCGGTCTGGAGGAGTCAAAGAAGGGGAGGCTGGGGAGGTGATTCTGGCTGGGCCTTAAGGCTAAGGAAGGGAAGGCTGTTCTCGGTGGGGGAGGCAGCAAGTACCAAAGGTAAGTATTTTAGGAAGGATGTAGAATGGGAATGGGCTGTACACAGGTGGGAGAATTGATGGGGTCATAAAGCTCAGCTGCCTCCAGAGTGGCCTTGGTTTCAGTGGCTTCAGTGTTAGTGTCCCCTATGGCACAGCTATCTAACCTGGCTGTCTCTACCTGTTCATTGCTCTCCTCAGATCTAGCCCCTGTTCCAGGAACACTGGCCTGGTTAAGGCCACCAATCCCCTCCTCGTTCCCCTCACCACAGAACCATCTCGGTCCTACATGACCTGTAGCAGTGTTGTTCTGCTGACCACTCACTCCTTGAAATGCCCCTTCCCTGGCTCCAGGAAGCCAATCTGTCCTTGGTGGTCTTACTGTGACTTTACCTTGGACAGCCTTGGAGAGGCACACTTCCTGGGGCCACCACCTCCTGCTGCTACACATCTGGGTTTGGACTTTATTGAGCTCCAGACCTCAACTCTGACACACCCTGGTATCTCACTGCACACATATTCAAAATGGTGGAACATGACTTTAACACTCACTCCTCACGCCCTGCCCTGGGTCTCCCCAGGTTGGAGGGACATCACCATCACCCAGTAATGCAAGTCTGATTGCTTCCTCTCCCCTGCTTCCCATATCTGACCTTCATCCCAATCCTCTATTTTTCTGCTTTCGTCGTCTACCCAGTGTGCACCAAGGCAGCGTCTACTTCCCTGGATGCCCTTTTCCAGGCCAGCCCGTCAGTTCCACATCTCTCCATCACCCCCAGGACCCTGCTGACTAGTTTCTGTCCCCTGCCACCTTGCAGTGTATACTTCCTCCTGCATTCCCTCTTCCTTGGTGTGGCTGTGGAGCTCCTTCCTTCAGGGGAGTCTCCTTGGTCTCCCTCTTAATTTTGTGTGTGGAGTGCTAGGGATTGAACCCAGGGACTTAGGCATGCCAGTTGAGTGCTCTACCTCCCAGCCTTGGTTTTCCTCTTGGTTGGCCAGCAGCTGCCCCTACTGCCTCCTCCTTGGGTCAGACCTTGGCCACCTCTCTCAAGGAAGGCTCTCCTGAACAACTGGGGCACCCAGGGCAGAGAGTGCTCGTGCTCTGTGGGCTCATCCAGCAGAGAAAAGCCCGAGTACGATTCCTTTGTGGACAGAGGTGAATTTAGAGTTACTTAGATCAGCACGCTTACTTTGTGTTTACCTCACTTGTGAAATTTTGTGTTGGTAATAGTCTCTTACCTTTTTGGCGTGCCTATTCCCTCTCTTCCTTGAGACAAGGGTCATCTGCTTACCCTCAAGGGGAGGATTGGCTCTAGAATGGCCACTCACTTTTGATTCCCTCCTCCTCCCATTTTCCACTCTTCTAGGGCCTGAAGACCAGAGGCCCTGGACAGCTCACCCAGTGTCCTTTCCCCTGCAGGAATGGACTGCCAGTGCAGGCCGATGGCCACCGTGTGCACCAGTCCCCAGATGGCACACTACTGATCCACAACTTGCGGGCCATGGATGAGGGCTCTTATACATGTAGTGCCTACCGCGGGAGCCAGGCAGTCAGCCGTAGCACAGAGGTGAAGGTGGCCCCAGCAGGTAAGAACGCATGCCTACCAGGGTGGGAGGGCATTTGCTCACTGTTGGGGCCTGGCTGGTTGTGAGCTGAAGAAGGGTGCAGGCTCAGCAGTGTGGGGGACTCTATTCAAATGCTGACTTACTCTGCCTGTTTCTGGTAGTGTGACTCTGCAAAGGCTTCACCCTGTGCAGCGGGTGGCCTCACCCCTTGAAGCCAGGAGAAAAGAAGTAGGCAGCACGCCTGCTGCACACTGCTTATGACCTCTTTAGGCATTGTCATTTAGACTTGCCACTTTTATTCAGAAAAATGATTGGAATTTTGTTTTAATACTTATGGTCCATAGGCCACTAAAATCTGTCCATTCTAATCAGTGTGGCAGAAAGTGGTCCAATGACTAAAAAGTGCCTCTTTGGCCATTTGAGCACATAACCCTGCCCTCTCCTTTCTGGGTTATCATCACTCTACAAATGAGATGGGTACCTGGAGAGATTAAGGGATATTTCTACTAGTCACACAGCAGATTAGTGGCCCAATTGGGACTAGAACTCTGGTTTTATGACTCCTCATGGTTAATCTTTTTTCTTTTCCCTGAACGATTACACCTGTAACAAAGTGTAATTATTCACCAATTTGATATTTTAGCCTTATATTCTCCAGCTGTTGCTCTTTGTGAATTTTCATATTTCAGCAATCGAAGTACTATATTGTATGTGGTATCAGTACAAAAAATGATACTGCTAATTAAATGACAATGGTGACATACCACCATCAATTAATACACAGACGGATTTGAGAGATGTGAAAAGAAGTACATTTTGGAATTGGTGACAGACAGTTTTAATGCTCAAACTCATTAGAGCTCTGTGGGAAAGGGGAGGGGAACTCTGTCTGCCCACTGAGCTCTCCCTCAGTTGTGGTTCACTGAGGGACTGAATCAGGATAGTGTCCTGGGCCAAGCAGCCTGTTCTCATAGACCTGATGCAGAAGCTCAGATAAAATTGATACCAAATTTACTGATTTTTAGAAAACACTATGCATAAATAACCTTGTTATTCATATTAACGTAAGTAGTTAGCCCTCTGGTTATTAATACATCAAATCTTTCTATTTCTAACCATTTGCTGGTTAGGTTGGGCTTTTCCTGGTCGTCTTGTGAGGAAACAGGAGAGGATGAATGTTCCCTATCCCTGGGAGGCCTGGTGTTAGGGAAGGTGCAGCTTGGATCTAAGTGGAGCTGAGCTATAAGATCCCCTTCAGAAAGAAGACACCTCACTCAATAAGGCCACTAAGCCCTAGGATGATATAAGACGCTTCTAGTAAAGGTAGAGGGGCAGGCAACAAAGGCTGTGTCCTCAGTATAGCATTTGAGCCATTCCAAGTCTTTTCCTGCCATTTATTCATTACTTTCTCTGGGAAAAGTGGAAAAACTAGAAATATAGGGATCTAGGTGACTCAGACAAGCTGGGGAGATGTATGCTTTATATATATGTGTATTACAAAATATGTAGCAAGTGTCAGGACATATATAGCTTAGTTATGGATATTTGTTTTGTGGTGCTAGTGATGGAACCCAGGCCTCACACATGCTAGGCAAGTGCTCTAGCACCGAGCCACACCCCCAGCCCCAGTTGAGGATTTTGAAGGCACAAAACTTTGCGGGGTTGGAGGACCCCAGGAGTAAAAAAGGAGAAGATAATATAGGTCTTGTTGAGTCAGCTTTTACTGAAAGCTGATCCTACCCCTTCTTCCCAAACTCTTTCTTCCAAACTTGAGGCTAAGGCAGTTGTCATTTCGCTCATCAGCTCTCCAGGGTAAGAGTTAACTTGAAGAGATGTTTAACCATCTGGTCAATAAATACCTGGGAGTCTGGGAAGAGCTATGCATGGGGCTGAGGCCACAAATAAGAATAAGAGGATGAGCACTGGATGCTGAAGTGAGGCCAACAGATGGCGGAAACTCTTAATTGCTCCTTGTGGTGAGAGTCCACAGTGCTGCCTAAGCCCTCTCTCCCCTGTTATTCTGTAGCACTGGCCGCACAGCCCAGGGACCCCAGCAGGGAATGCATCGACCAGCCAGAGCTGGCCAACTGTGACTTGATCCTGCAGGCCCAGCTCTGTGGCAATGAGTATTACTCCAGTTTCTGCTGTGCCAGCTGTTCCCGCTCCCAGCCACACACTCAGCCCACTTGGCAGCAGGGGTGAAGGCTACCTCTGGCTCTGAACAATCCTCTGGGGAGAAGGAAGATGGAATCGACTTCCTCTCTCTGGCTGGCATCATATTCCAGAGAAACTGGTCCTTTCAGTCACCATTCAGTGTTGTGCTTCAGCAGCCTCCAGGACTGGCCTTCCTCTGCAGACCTCAGCAGTGCCTGTGTCTCTCATTACGGATGGCTGCTGCTGAGTTGTCAAGAAGAGGAATCTGTTTGAAGAAGGGACAAACTTTCCTTTACAACTTCCTTTTGTAAGTTCTGTTACAGGTTGAGAATTTCTTGTCTGAAATATTGGGACCAGAAGTGTTTCAGATTTTGGAAAATTTGCAGACTGAACCACTTAGGCATCCCTGATCCAAAAATCTGAAATGCTCTAAAATCTGAAACACTGAGGGTCATGTCATCACTTAAAGCAAACTGTCAGGGCTTTCACTTCATTTAAAGCTAGGTGGAGAGGTGTGTAATGATTTAAAAATTAACACCTGCCTTGTAAGTGGCATGCCTATTCCTGCTTTCAGGGAAGTATTCTGTGCTAGAACAGAGTCTCCTGTGAGATCAAACAGTGGTCCATTGCTCTAGTGTCTCTCACCTTTCGAAGGAGTGTAGCAGTCAGCTTCATATCCCACAAGGTCAAGAGCATAATGCTGGTGAAACCTCTTAGCAAAAGTGGAATATAAGGCCTTAGTATAGGGATTAGAAATGAAAGAGGCATAGTTAATACTGTCATCTGAGCATGAAAGAACTGGAAAAATTGCTTACTTTGTTGGGAAGCTGGACCCCAAAGCCTTCTTGAGGTCAACATGCAAAACCGGCTGTAGAGGTTCATCTGAATCCTTCGTAAGTTGACCAGCCTGCTCTGTGCAGTGATAGTAAGGAGCCCCTCTTCCTTAAGTATTATGTAAAGCAGAATGTTTGCTTCCAGAGAAAGATCAGACGGTTGTTAAAAACAGCATTAGCAGGCTGGGGTTGCGGCTCAGTGGTAGAGCACTTGCCTAGCATGAATGAGGCACTGAGTTTGATCCCTGGCACCACATAAAAATAAACAAATAAAATAAAGGTATTGTGTCCATCTACAACTAAAAATTAAAAAAAAAATAGCATCAGCAGGATGGGGAACTAGTAGGTGGTGGGTGAAGGCAATGTAATAACAGGGAAGTGGTTTGAGTTGGAGGAAGTCATTCTTTACCTCAGAATTTCTAATTCCTCAATGCTGAAACAAGAGGCCTAAATTCAAGGAGCTTCTAAGTCTTATTCAACTTTCTTCTATGAATCCTCCAGAGGACTGCCTAGTAATAAAGGTCATTCTTTGACAGAGGAAAGATGAGCATCATAGGGACCAAAACCCTGAAAGGTAACTTTTATTACCAACACACTGTCTGGAATAGAAAAATGTATCGTGGGTGATGCTTCCTGGTCTACCTCTCGTCCAACAAAAGAAACATGGGCCGAGGGCAGAGGTTTTTCTCTTTCCATTAAAAAAAAAAGTACTGAGATGCATACCCTTTCATTTATCATGGCTGGTTTTGCTATAGAAATAGAAAAATAAATGTTGCTTTCATGGATTTCCTAGTTTAATGAAACCAGAATTTATCCTATTGGCACACACTTTAGAAGTTACATCTAAAAACAGCTAGCTCTTTTGAGCTAGCCCATGTTAGAACTAGTCCCAGAATAGTGGCTTAGAGGACAGGGCCAAACTCACTCAAGAACAATGGTTCTCAACCATCTTCCAGGGTCACTGAACCTGGAGTTCTCTGACCACCCTACCCCCCTTTACCCCCCCCACACACACTCTCAAATTAATTTATTTGGTCTTGTGTATAGGCTGGGCATTCAAGTTTGTGTGTGTGCACTGGGGGTGGGGGCTCTCACATGCTAAGCATGTGCTTTACTACTGAGCTACACCCCAACTCTAGGCATTAGGACTTTAAAAGCTACCCAGGTAATTCTACCATGTAGCCAAAGTCAGGAGGCACTACTTCAGCCCTGTGGCTGAGATTCTGTTTTCCAGCCAGCTCCTGGGTGAAGCCTATTATGCCAGACCACATGCTGAGCAGCAAGAATCTGACTTTAGCCTTTGTTTGATCCTGTTAGCATCTCTTAAGTATGAACAAAAATGTGAATTTTTAGGATACATTAGTCACAATAAAAGATCTGTGGCTACTAAACTAGGAATCTGCAGAAACAGCAAAGTGGAGAGACAGTAACACCGAAGAAAACGAAAAGCAAACTCATTTGCAAACAAATGGAAAATAAAAACATTCCTTCATGGACAAAAGCTTCTACCACGAACATTTATTTTGTTAAAGCAGATTATAAATTCTCATCAGTACAAATATATATATATGTATATATATATATATAACTTACATTTGATTGTAAGGCCAACGTTCAAAAGTAAAAATGAGATGGGATCTCATGTTGTTACCCGAGGTCAAGTGGCTGCAACTGGCAATGGGATGATCTGCTCACCATAAAGGAGGTGGGGAGGGGGGAGCACATACACAAAGCTAATAAAACCAGAATCCCCATCCCCACAAAACTCGTGGGAACAAAATTTAAAGGACAAAACCCACCAAGACCCACATCAYAAACCAACACAGAAACCTGTGTTCCCTTCTGTGGATGATTATGTCATTGTCACCTTAGTGTTAAAACAGTAAAGAATTAACATAAGGAAATTGCAACAATATATAAAATACATTTTCTAAAACATATTTAGATTGATTCCATTAAAATGACATTAGAATTTCAACAGAGGTTTAAAACCAGGACAATACTGCTTTCATTTTCTTTAAACTACAATCTAGTGAATGTATTGGTCATAAGCATGATTGTTGATGCGATGTGCTACTTACAACGAACAATATCGAACAAGTTAGGGATCCTGTCTGCAACTTCCAACCCTTCCTCTTTTTTACTTCAATAGGCATCAATGATAAATCAATCTTATGTACAATTTCTTACAACTAACCTTTTTTACTTTTGGCAAGATTACTTACAACTCATACAATTTTTTAATATTGAGAACTATTTAAAATATTCTAAAGGCATAAAAATAAAGATTTTGGCTTTTTTGATATATATTTATAATATTTATTCTGTTACTCAAAATGGAAGCTCAACATTACCCCCAAAATAGAGCTCTGCTGGGCAGTTGCTGATGTGCCCTCCCCGGAATTCTGGCAGCATCCTCTGCCTCTCTTCCCAGCCTGAGCACAGACCACTCTTCTTGATCTTTAAGACAGGTCAGTACTGACTGGGAGGAGGCAGGGGAATGGCCTGAAAAGTAAAGGGAGATTGTTTTGCTTTTATTCCAGTAAATGTGCTTTGAATACAGATTCCTGTTCAGGTACTTCTGCCTTTCTATTGTCAGAGATTGTAAGGGGGCAAGGGAAGAGGGTTTAGAGAGCACAACATTTTCTTGATTTCTTTAGCTTAGCTGCAAGACARTCTTTGCTAGGAATGGCTTTCTTCACTTCTTTCAAAATCACCCCTCACTGCCTGGACTTGTTCCTTGGGACCTTTGGGATTAGTGAAACGTATACTGATCAGGAATACAAAGTCTCTTTGCTCCTTTGACCTCCACCCCCTGCTTTTACCTAAGTACAGACAAGACACATAAGCCAGAGAGATTGCTTAAAGTTCAATTTCAAATGTCTTCTGTAAGTCACTGGAAAATGGGTTGGTAGGGGAGGGATTAGTACGCTGCTTGGATTTGCTTTCTAATGCAGCCCACTGAGCTTCAAAAGGATCCACTGGGCAGGTGCCTGCAGGAACCTCTGTGTGCTTGTCTCCTGAGGCCAACCTGCCATCGTCTACACCATTGAAAGCTGCAGAACCGTTGAGGTGCTGAGCAGGAGGCTTAAAGAAGGGACTGGTGGTAGCACTGCTTGTCTCATACTGTGGGAATGTCTGTTGCTTGACCAGGCTGGGAGATGGATGGGGATGAGTGGCCTGAGGATGGCCTGCAGTGCCAAACACATTGGCTACCATCTGGGAGGGAGTGATGCCCACCACAGGCACATTAGGGGCTGGATAGGACATCCCGTTGGCCACAGGATAGGACTGGGCAGGGACAAAGGTTGGCTGCAGGGGTGGGACCACACCCACTGGCACAGGCTGAGAGGTGAGGAATGCATTCCCTTGGAAAGGCGGTGCTGGCTGGRAAATGGCAGTGGGTGGAGGAGGCTGGAGAACTGGCTGCAAAGGGGCAGCTGAGACCTGGGGCTGCTGGGCTCGGACACTCTTCGACACTTCTTCTAACCAGCGGTCAGCCTCAGAGGGAGTACGTCTGTGACCACCAAGGAAGAGACCTGGAGATGCAGCACCAGAAGATTGACCCCACTCAGTCCCTGGAATGAGCAAGATGCAGACAAAAGAAGAGTTACTGGCCTCTTTCCTCACATTATAACCTTGGTTATTTGAAGGACCCTAACATGTGGTACAAGTCCCCCAAGTGGGACAATCTGTGGTTCTGGCAGATGGGAGGAAAGTATGACCAGCTGAAAAGATTTTGTGGTAGGACAAAGAGAACCTGTCAGACCATTTGCTGTCAGCCATGATGAGAAGCTGTTTAGATATAGCTCAAATGCACTGAGCCAAGGCAGCTGGCTGGGGTTGGGAGCCCCACTTTGCTGTCATGGTTCATCCAAGGTACAGAAACTAGCAGAAGCATGTTCTACAGGGCTTGAGGGATCCTTCTTTGCTCTAATAGGGCAAAAAGAAAATAACCAGTGACTTGGCCCTAATTAGCCTGGTTTCCAGCCATATGTTGTTTTTCTGGTGAAAGATTCTTTCTATTTAAGTTTTTTTTTTGTTGTTTTATAGTTTATAGTTTGGTTTTATGCCTAAAACCTCAGTTATAGTTAATGACTATTCATTACAGGAAAACACAAAAAAGAAAAGGAAAATGATGCTTAACGTAGTACTTTTTGTATGTCTACCATTGCAGGAGGCAGGATCCCCTCTTCTTATAGGCATCTCTGCATATTGCCAAGTCCTATGATAGATTCTCTGGGGACTGGGCTCAGGAATCTATAAAAGCCATACGGGTGGCTCTGCTCTCTATTGCTGTAATCTCTCTTGTTTCTCACCATCACTATTCTTTCTTAATAATGATTTATTTCCAAAGGGAACACACTTTTCCTAAAAGGATTTTTTCCCTTAGGTCCCATTAGGTAATTGGCAGACATTAGAACCAGGGTCACTTATCTGATCCCAGAATCCTCACCACCATCTGTGGCCACCTTACCCGGATGAATGGCTGCAATTTCCTTGTTAGCAGCATCAGGGGCATGGGCCCAAGGGTTGGTTTCACGCACAGGCATTGCTACGGGTGCTAGAGCAGTATGGACTGGCTTAGCAGCAAGCACATGGAAGGCTGAGTCAGTGCCATTAGCTATAATGGGAGCAGACAACATCAATGGAGTTAATTCATGCAGGGTGTACGAGGGATCCCATGGAGCTCGGTCAGTCAGGCCAGGGAACAATATTGGTGGGACAGATAAGATGGAATAGTTGATGTTGGAATAACCATGCCATCTTGCAGTGGATACACATACCTTTTGGCAAAGAAGGATTAGAGGTTGTAATTAAAATGGTTGTACTGATCAAGTCAACGGTTGTTTTGGGAAAACATATGCATGAGGAGGGGAAAAATTAAGCCTATAAAAACAATTGCTGACTAGCTGGGTGCAGTGGTAAATGTCAATATCCCAGTGACTCTGGAGGCTAAGGCAGGAGGATCAAAAAATGGAGACCATTAGCAAAAGTTTGTCTCAAAATAAAAAGGGTTGGGGATAGAGATCAGTGGTAGAGTGCTATAGGTTCAATCTCTAGTACTTATCCCCACATATTAAGTTGAATAGAGCTGCTCTTGTGAGCAGCAAAAACCCCCTAATTATTCCAGATAGAACTTTAGCCTTTGGCTTAATAAAGTAGATAAAAGCACTTCCCTTTTTTTTTTTTTTACATTTTTCCCAAAGGTCAAATTATGCCAATAACAACTATAATAATGGGTACAATATAGTGATTTCTTATTATGTATTGGGCACCAGACTAAGTATTTTATGTGCATCATCTTATTTAATTCTTTCAAAACCCCCATAAGGATGGCACAGTACTGCTGGGGATAAGTTCCCTGACATTCCAGATGCCTAAAACCCCAGATAATACCAAATCCTACATATACTGTTTTCTCCTAGACATACATACCTATCATAAAGTTTAGGCATAGTGAGAAATTGATAACAATAGAATATAATAAAAATTATTTGATCTGGGTACGATGGCTCATGCCTGTAATGCCAGCAGCTCTGGAGGCTGAGGCAGGAGGACTGTAAATTCAAAGCCAGTCTCAGCAACTTAGCAACACCCTGTCTCAAAAAATAAAAAAGGGCTGGGGATGTGGCTCAGTGGTTAAGCACCCTTGGGTTCAATCTGTGTACCCACTGCCACCGAAAAAAATTGTTTATTTCTGGAATTTTTCTATTTAATATTTTGAGATAATAGTTGACCAAGGGTAACTGAACCCTTGAAAAGTGGAACCAGGGGCTGGGGTTGTGGCTCAGTGGTAGCGTGCTTGCTTTGCATGCGTGGGGCACTGGGTTCGATCCTCAGAACCACATAAATTAATAAAATAATAAAATAAAGGTATTGTGTCCATCTACAACTAAAAAAAAATTTAAAAAAAGTGGAACCAGGAATAAGGGGGCGCTACTATTTTATTTCCATGTAACAGATGAGAAATCAAACTTGTCCCCTTTTTATTTGCTTACGAAATTTGTAATTTGCTACAGAATTAATTTTATACATCTCTCTCCTTTTTGAAGATTTTCCTCCTAAAGTTCACAATATCTCAAAGTGCCTATTATTCTTTCCTCATATTCTTTTATTAAAATCTCTTAATCATATCCTTTTATTAAAATCTCTTAATCATTCTTTCTTTTACTCCAGATAATTACACATCAGTTTCTACTCCTTATCCCAGCTTGCTCTATCATATTTAATATGAAGCAGATAGGCAAGCATCTTCCCCTGCCTTCAACATAAACACTCCCTTTTAGAACTGGGCAACCATGCTTGTGGTGTTGATATTATTTACCCAGAGCGTGTCTTAAAAAAAAAAAAAATCTCACCTATAGTCTGGGAGCAGGGAAAGGACTATGTCCCATTAGATTCTGTATACCCAGTGCCTTGTAAACATGCAAGATCAGTAGAACATAATGGGTACTATATTCAGAAGATCTGAATTTAAATTCTGTTTGTATGATTTGTGCAATTAACCTCCTGAGCCTCATTTTTCTTATCTGTGATGTCCATCTCAAAGGGCTGTTGAGGGAATTAAATGAGATAATGCATGAGTACTTATCCCAATGTGAACTGTGTTAAGTGCTCAATACAAATACATTGTGTCTATTAATAATCATTAGCATTATATTTGTTAGATGAGATGAAAAGCTAATTGGAGACATGAAAAGTACACAACTATAAAGGGTTTATTTTTGAGAGAGAGAGAGAGAGAGAGAGAGAGAGAGAGAGAGAGAGAGAGACAGACAGACAGACAGACACTGACTCTGACTCTCAGAGTCAAAGCAAATAGTAGCTTCTTCCCACAGGGTACTATTATCTCCAGGGCAAACTCTCTAAGCTTTCTTTCAAAAGAAATGAGATGTGCGATTACAGAAGCTCAAATTAGAGGTCTTTAATTTAAGTTACATTCTTTGTTGACCTGAGTCAATTTCGACTATTAATTCAGTATCTCTGAAAAAAATCTTGTAGTCTTTTCAATGTCACAAAGGCAAAATTTAGGCACGTGTTAAAGAATATGACATAGTTAGAAAGCCAAAAGAAGTACCTTTTTCTTTATAAGCCTCTGTGACAGGGTAGAGACTAGGTGAGTCCAGGTCTTCTTGACCTTGGCACTATTAACATCTTGGGACAGATAATTCTTTGTTACAGATGCTGTTCTGTGCATTGAGGATGTTGGCAGTATCCCTTGCCTCTACCCAGATGTCAATAAAATTACCCCTTCTCCCTAACTTGTGAAACCCAAAAATGTCCCCACGTAATGAATGCCAAATTTTCTCCAAGGAGGCAAAACTGCTCCTGGTTGAGACCACTGCATTAAAAAAGGATAATGCTAAAACCAGTCCCCATGACTACTGCTTCTTGAAAACTAGAATACTCTGACCCTTAACAGTAAAGTAGCAAATAAACCAGTTACAGAAGCTCCTAACAGAAGTGGGTGAAAGGTGGGTACATACATGCACAATGAGGAACACAGATATCTTAGGAAATAGGAAGGGGAACAAAGCACAAACTGTCAATTAGGGGAATTGACAATGGGTCTGACTATCTCCGGAAAAGCTCAGGATGCAACTTATAGTTAGTGAGCAGCTACCAAAATGACTAGTTTTTAAAAGAACAACTGAGCAGGTCAGATGGCACCAACCTTGGAAGGCAGGAGACTGTGGTGCCACCACTGTCACTGGTTTGGTCATTGGGGCGGAAGAGAAGGGGTCCTCAGAGGGTGTGCTGAAGGCATTGGTGATCTGTGAGCACAGGGAGCTGATGCTCTCTGCCTCCCCTTCTACCTCTGGCACTGCAAAGCAAACAGAAAATGGTTCCAGACAGAAAAATGGGATACTCCTGAAATATGAAAGTATGATACAAGCTGACATTTTATATTTTATCTCTTATTATGGAAGGAAAAGGCTCAATTAACTGAGTGAAGGGATACAAAAGCACCAAAAAAATTTGGTGACCACCATTTCAGTGGCTTTTCAGATGGGAAGGTGTAGAATGTCAACAGTTCAGGTACTACGGTACATCTTCTTTCCTTGTAAATCCTCAAACTTCTTTATTTCCTCTCATACACTGTCAGGAATTTGGTATTCTCCTTTTGTGTCAAGAGTTCTGCTAGATGGATCTTTCTGAGAGATGCCTGTGACCTGTTTGCCTTCCAACCAGTGCCCAAGCTTCAAAACTTGACTCAAGTTTTGAAGCTACTAAGTAATTTTATCAGAAATATGGGGTAGAGTCTAGAGCACCAGTGGTTGCTCAGTGTATTTCTCTGTAATAAACTTCAATGTCATCACTTTCACTTTTCTCCAAAACTATTAATACCAAATATATGAACTGTGATAACAAGAAAAAGTGAACTGAAGTGGAAGACTCTAGAAACTTGTTCTTAATATTGACTCTACAATACTTTTATATCACTGAGGAAGCTAATTATTTATAAGTGCTAAATTTTTGCTCATCTGTGAGAAGAGAATAATAGTTTTTGTTCCTCACCTGTATACTGAAATGAGATACTTGAAACATCTGGAGTTTCAGTTTTTAAAGGCATTTAAAAAGTTTAAAAGACTGTTGGTGATTATCCAGTCTCCAGCTGTTCTTTAGGCCTAGTTTTATCTGTTAATTTATTTAATTCTGTACTTGTTTTATCAGTGAGAATGCATTTGATACAGACTGCTTCACATATAGCAACAGTTTGCTAGACCTCAGAGGGACGTAAAATAGAGCCCAATAAAAGAACTGACCAGTCTAATACTTTAATTCTGGATCATATGATGAGGCTAGAGCTTTGGAGCTGGCTCAACAGAACAGAGCCCACACAAAGGTCTGTGTGGCAGTTTTGAAAGGTAATGGACAAATGTGAGCAAGCCTACTGTCTCTAAGGAACAAAAGATCTTAGATTCATACAAGAGGCTTGTTTGGAGTTTCCTTCCTATGAAGCCAACCAGTCATAAGGACAAAGAATATACCATTTCTTCTGGTATATCTGCCGGTTGTGCTATTTAACTGTACATGTTTCTAAAGCCTGTTTCATTAATTTTTTCCTGCGTCCCAAGTGGCAGAGTAAGAATAGAAATTTGAAACCCTTGATGTCTGGAAACAGGTCGACTGAGAGGTAGTGCATTTACATCAGGACAATTTCTGGCCTTGTGAGCAGAAACCATGGCACTGTCATCTTTGTTGAAGAGAAATTAATGATCCCTCCAAGGATCTGAGTTTTCTCCCATGGAAACAACACAAGATACAACCATCAACCAGCTTCAGAGAGAGAGGAATGGCGAGTTTAATGGGATTTGTGTTGCCACTAGAAGTGATGATAATACTTCAGTGCTACAGTGCCCAGTGAGTCAGATGTATGCTACTTACCTGCATTTTTTATGGGGAAATCAGTCTTCCTCTGCATAGTGGAAGGCAACTCATTGATGCGAAGGGATAGTTGGCGTTTAAAGGGTGACATCTTCTGGCTTAGAGCAGGAAATCCTCGGAAAGAGCCTTGGCGAGCAAGCTGTTCAATTGGTGCATGCCTGCGTGGGATGGCATGAGGATTGTTCATCTCCAGCGAGGCAGTGGCATCCGAAGTGGGAGAAGTGGGAGAAGATGGGGATGAGGCAGTGTTGCCAGAAGCCACTGATGAACCAACAACTGTCTTATCTGTTTCAACTCAAGAAAATTAAGAGAAAGAGGACCTTAACAATGATCTTCAAATATGTTAAGTTTATAGACCTGAGGAACTCAAAAGCCCTCTTTTTCTTTTACTCATCTCCTTCTCAATGTCTCCTAAAAGACAGGTTAGAAGCAAATTCCCTATTTTTCAGACAGATAAAGGTTTTATGTCACATAGCATGCTTACTAAAACACAAATATTAAAACTTTTACTTCTCTTATAGTGATTATAAGTTAAAATTTGAACAAACCCAGTTTAATAAAGTCCTCATATGAGGTTCTTTAAAGAATGATGGATCATGATCTTCAGTGGTTTTTAGTGGAGGGTGACTTGTGGGGAAGGCAAAGTCAGAAAGTTCTAAATAAATATAAATTTGAGTAGGTGTCAAAAATTCATAAAGCAGAGTTTAGATCATGGATAATATGCATTGGTGGATGCAGAATTAAAGTTTAAAATTGGACTAAACCTGGAAATAAGACTTTTTCCTTTTTTTTAAAATTGATTTTATTTGTTTCAATACATGACAGCAGAGTGCATTACAATTCTTATTACACATATAGAGCACAATTTTTCATCTTTGTATGTAAAGTATGTTCATGCCAATTCATGTCTTTATACATTTTTTTGCATTACAATTCTTATTACACACATATATCACAATTTTTCATATCTGTTTGTATATAAAATATGTTGACACCCAATTCGTGTCTTCATACATGTACTTTGGATAATGATGTCCATTACTTTCCACCATCCTTGCTAATCCCCTGCCCCTCCCTTTCCTTCCCACCCCTCTTCTCTATCTAGAATTCATCTATTCCTTCCATGCTCCCCCTCCCTACCTCACTATGAGTCTGCCTCCTTATTTCACAGAAAACATTCAGCATTTATTTTGGGGGGGATTGGCTAACTTCACTTAGCATTTTCTTCTCCAATGCCATCCATTTACCTGCAAATGCCATGATTTTATTCTCTTTTATTGTGAGTAAAATTCCACTGTCTATATATACCACATTTTTTTTTATCCATTCATGCAATGAAGGGCATCTAGGTTGGCTCCACAGTTTAGCTATTGTGAATTGTGCTGTTATAAACATTGATGTGGCTGGGTCCCTGGAGTATGCTATTTTTAAGTATTTTGGGTATAATCCAAGGAGAGGGATAGCTGGGTCAAATGATGGTTCCATTCCCAGATTTCCAAGGAATCTCCATACTGCTTTCCATATTGGCTGCACCAATTTGCAGTCCCACAGCAATGTATGAGTGTACCTTTTCCCCCATATCCTTGCCAACACTTATTATTGTTTGTCTTCATAACAGCTGCCATTCTGACTGGAGTAAGATGATATCTTAGGGTAATTTTGATTTGCATTTCTCTAATTGCTAGAGATGATGAGCATTTTTTCATATATTTGTTGATTGATTGTATATCCTCTTCTGAGAAGTGTCTGTTCAGGTCCTTGCCCCATTTGTTAATTGGGCTATTTGTTTTTTTGGTGCTTAGCTTTTTGAGTTCTTTATATACCCTAGAGATTAGTGCTCTATCTGATGTGTGAGGGGTAAAAATTTGGAGTATAAGACTTCAAGATAATTTCTAATTATCTTCTGTATTTCTGTAGTGTCTGTTGTGATATTACCTTTTTCATCATGTATGCTGGTAATTTGAGTTCTCTCCTTCTCTTCATTAGCATGGCTAAGGGTCTGTCAATTTTATTTATTTTTTCAAAGAACCAACCTTTTGTTTTGTCATTTTTTTCAATTGTTTCTTTTGTATCGATTTCATCTCTAATTTTAATTATTTCTTGCCTTCTACTGCTTTTGCTGTTGATTTATTCTTCTTTTTCTAGGGCTTTGAGATGTAATATAAGGTCATTTATTTGTAGACTTTCTCTTCTTTTAAGGAATGAACTCCATGCAATGAACTTTCCTCTTAGTACTGCTTTCACAGTGTCCCAGAGATTTCAATATGTTGTATCTATGTTCTCATTTACCTCTAAGAATTTTTTAATCTCTTCCTTGATGTCTTCTGCAACCCACTGTTCATTCAGTAGTATATTGCTTAGTCTCCAGGTGATAGAGAAATTTTTATTTTTATTTTGTTGCTGGTTTCCGATTCCATTCCATTATGATCTGATAAAATACATGGTAGTATCTGTACTTTTTGTATTTGCTAAGAGTTGCTTTGTGGCATAGTATATGGTCTATTGCTGCGCCCCTCCCCTGACTCATGCAAAGGCAAGGCCCTACTGAGGTGGATGGCGCAAGGCGTCCATCCTCTGGAGGAGCGCAGCATGTTTCTGGGAATGGGCTGGTTTGTTTTTGTATTCCTGTTAATAAGTATAGTTGCAACTTCTCATATGACCATTAAGTATGAAGGAAAAAACATGACTTTCCCAATTAATGCAACTACTTATAAAGAATAAATCTGGGCTGGGGATGTGGTTCAAGTGGTAGCATGCTCGCCTGGCATGCATGCGGCCCGGGTTCGATCCTCAGCACCACATACAAACAAAGATGTGGTGTCCGCTGATAACTAAAAAATAAATATTAAAATTCTCTCTCTCTTAAAAAAAAAAAAAAAGAATAAATCTGTTTGCTCTAAATGCAAAGATTCAGCTGTGGAACGTAAACTGTTAATGTTTAATGAGAAACCCCCTGTAGGAAAAACAGTCAAGCAAGTTTTTGAGAAATTAAATTAAAATCTAGAGATGAAAAATTAATATTAAGAAGACAGATTAGTGCTTGGTACTGGGCAACTTGTTCTTGTTCCTGAGCACAATGGTCTGATGCTCTTACTCTTGTTTGATTAAAATTAGTAGCCTGTCTTTTCAAGTTAACCACTTGCCATAACCGCAGCGCCAGTTCTAGTCAGTAAGTCAAGAAAGAATAGTCAAGGTATAGGCCAATAGTCTGGGACATTTCTAACTATTATTAAAAGCTAACTAAGTGGAAACAGCTCAAAGCAAAACGCAAACTGAAAGTAAAAATGCCTGCTTATGCATAAGCCAAGATACATTCTTCTTATCTAATTGTAGCTAGGTAAAATTTCGTTTCTTTGAATAATGATTCCTGTTTTGTAACCACAAAATACTGTGAGCCTGCCAAAATGAAAAGTATATATGATTAACTTCACAAGTAAAGGATAAGATTCAACACCTTCACTCTTGTGTCTGTGTTGTTTTTCCGCCACCTTTTGTTGACTCCTCTATCTGTTCATCTTCTGAGACTCCCTGCCAGAGCTGGATTCCGACAGTCTATTTTAAAGAAGGATCCATGTGCTGCTGAGAAGAAAGTGTATCCGCTTGATGCAGGTTGAAATATTCTATACATGTCAGTTAAGTCTAAGTTATTGATTGTATTATTGAGTTCTATAGTTTCTTTATTCAACTTTTGTTTGGAAGATCTATCCAGTGGTGAGAGAGGGGTGTTGAAGTCACCCAAGATTATTGTGTTGTGGTCAGTTTGACTCTTGAACTTGAGAAGAGTTTGTTTGATGAACATAGCTGCACCATTGTTTGAGGCATATATATTTATGATTGTTATGTCTTGTTGGTGYATGGTTCCCTTGAGCAGTATGTAGTGTCCTTCTTCATCCCTTTTGATTAACCTTGGCTTGATGTCTATTTGATATGAGGATGGAAAGCCCTGCTTGCTTCTGCAGTCCTTGTGAGTGGTATGATTTTTCCCAAACCTTCACCTTCATTCTGTGTATATCTTTCCTATCAGATGGGTCTCCTGGAGGCAGCATATTGTTGTAGTTTTTTTTTTTTTAAATCCAATCTGCTAGCCTATGTCTTTTGATTGGTAAGTTTAAGCCATTAACATTCAGGGTTACTATTGAGACATGTTTTGTATTTCCAGCCATATTTGTTTATTTTTGTTATTTAACTTGACTTGGTTTTCCTCTTTGATTAGTTTTCCTTTAGTGTACTACCTCCCTCTGCTGATTTTCATTGTTGTATTTAATTTCCTCTTCGTGGACTATTTTGTCAAGGATGTTTTGTAGTGCCAGTTTTCTAGCTATAAATTCTTTTAACTTTTGTTTATTGTGGAAGGTTTTTATTTCATTTTCAAATATAAAGCTTAATTTTGCTGGATACAAGATTTTTGGTTAGCACACATTTTCTTTCAGACTTTGATATATGTTCCAGGATCTTCTAGTTTTTAGGGTCTGTGATGAAAAATCTGCCATTATTCTAATTGATTTTCCCCTATATGTAATCTGATTCCTTTCTCTCGTGGCTTTTAAAATTCTCTCCTTATTCTGTATGTTGGGTGCTTTTATTATAATGTCCCTTGGTGTGGATCTGTTGTGATTTTGTATATTCGGCATTCTATAGGCTTCTTGAACTTGGATTTCTAATTCATTCTTCATGTTTGGAAAGTTTTCTGATATTATTTCATTGAATTGTTCATTCCTTTGGTTTGGAAGTCTATGCCTTCCTCTATCCCAATAACTTTTAAATTTGGTCTTTTTATGCAATCCCATATTTCTTCAATGTTCTGCTTGTGGTTTCTTACCATTTTCACTGTGTGATCTATGTTCTTTTCAAGATGATATATTTTATCTTCATTGTCTGATGTCCTATCTTCCAAGTGGTCTACTTTGTTGGTGATGCTTTCATTTGAGCTTGTAATTTGGCTTATTATTTCTTTCATTTCAAGGATTTCTTTCTTTTATTTTTTTGGAACCTCTATCTCCCTGTTGAGGTGATCTTTCGCTTCTTGAATTTGTTTATGTAGCTCATTGTTGAAGTGATCTTTCACTGCTTGTATTTGCTCTCTTATGTCTTGAGTTCACAGAACATTTTAACCATGTATATCCTGAAATCTTTCTCTGTAATTTTGTCTGCTCTAGCTGCCAATGATTCTAATGATGTATTATCTTGATTTGTTTGTGGTACTTTCTTCCCTTGTCTTTTCATGTTGCTCCTGTCTGTTCCTTTCCAGCTCTGTGGGTCTGGTGTGTTGTTGTTTTTACCCTATAGATTTGTAGTGCTCTTGTAGGGTTCCAAGATCTTTCCTTTGTGGGAAAGGACAATGTTAACAAATCCCAATATCAACAATACATCACCTATGAACAATTTGTTGTTATTCAGACATTTACAGGTTAGTTTCAATGTCCAGAAATGTTTGATTCAATTATTATTTAAAATATAACCAGTAGTTCTGTAAAAAGGTTTACAGTTTCTGATGGTGGACAATGAACTGGGGGTCTGGGATAGGATGATATGCTGAAGGGGAAAGATGTGAGGGTATAGAGTTAATATTATTTTAGAAAAGGTGAAAGAGAAATCTAATGAAGAGGGTTAGTAGCAGGGTAATAGACAGGAAGTAATTTAGGGTAGACAAGTATGTGGGAAGACAGTAGAGTACATAAAACAAACACACATATGTATGTAGAAAAATACAGGATGTAAAAGTAAAATTTGGAGGGTGAAAGAAGAAGAAAAAAAAGAAGAAAGAAAAAAAGGAGAGAAGAAAAAGGGAAAAAAGGGGCTTATATAACTCCTCTATATTATATTATTGAGGTGACTCAGTCCTCAAAGTCATGAAATAAGACTTTTTCCATGTGAGTACCAGTTCAATCCCATTCTGATTATGTCAAGTCTTTACCCAACCTTCATGGTTCTTTGTAGACTTTAGAACTCAATCTCTGTCAACTGCTGTGTATAGCAATATTGCTTGGTGACATTAACCCATCAGGTCCTAAGTTTTCAATTCTGTGAATATTAACAAAATCAACACAGTTGCATTAAAATAGGTTGGAAATCACAACCTAGAGCTTACATATATAATAATAATTATGTTCTTCTCTAATTATGTAAAATAATATTATGTATTTAAATTTTAAATGGTATGCTACATCTTGGGAAAATGGGTCAAAATGGGTTAAATAATATGGTTTCAGGGTTGGTGTTGTAGCTGTGGTAGAATGCTTGCCTAGTATATATGAGGCTCTGGGCTTGATCCCCACACTGAAAAAACAAAACAAATCCAAAAACTTTCAGTCTGAAAATCACTAAAACATACTAAATCATAATATTTAGATAAAAATTTCTAGTAATGATACATAATTTGTTTTGTTTTTGAGAGGGGGTCTCATTCTGTTGCCCAGGCTAGTCGTGAATTCTTGGGTACACATGATCCTCCTGCCTCAGTCTCCTGAGTAGCTGGAACTATAGGCATGTGTTACCACGCCTGGCCAATATGTTTTTTATTCTTTGGTATCCTAGCACAAATGCTTACAAGAAGTCACTATCAGCCTGCTGCGCTAGCATGTTTCTGCAGTCCTTGCTATTCAGGAAGCTGAGATAGGAGTTCAAGGCCAGCATGGGTAACATAATGAGACTCTCCCAGCCCCACCCTCAAATCACTATCATTAATTTTTTATTCTTTTTATATATGTATATACCCTCATTCCCAAGAGTTCTCTTTGAGTATGAGAAAACATATTCTTGCTAGCTTCAAATTATTAGCCTGTTGGGGAAAACTACATTAAATGAACACATTGCAGTAGAACAGACTGTACCTTTCTTGGCATCTTGTATTTGTTTCATGATCTCCTCTCTTTCTGCTTGTTCGGTGGCAGTTGTGACACGGAATGATCCTTCTCTTGTAAAGGTAGTCCGACTAGCGTCAAAAGTAGCAGTCACTCCACACTCCTTCTCCCGCTTCTGCTTACGTTCTAAACAGGCTGCGAAAGCACAGCCTACTGCATGGCTCAATCTTTCACCCTGGAGAGAGCGAAAGGTTCTTTAAGCCTTTTTGGAGTTACAGTACCAACAATGACATACAAGTATATGTTTTTTTTTTTGTTGTTTTGTTTTGTACCAGGGATCGAACTCAGGGGCATTCTTCCACTGAGTCACATCCCAGCCCTATTTGGTATTTTATTTAGAGACTGGGTCTCACTGAGTTGTTTAGCACCTCTTTGTTGCTGAGGCTGGCTTTGAACTCGTGATCTTCCTGCCTCAGCCTCCTGAGCTGCTGGGATTACAGGCATGCGCCACAGCGCCTAGCTATAAATATGTTTTTACACAAGACAAAATGTTGCAAACTTCAGCTTCAAATTAAGTTGTAATATATTATAGGCAAAATTAATTTGAGTAAATTATCTTAATGTGTATGATACTTCAATTACATTAACACTTTCAAGTCTTAGGCAAAGTGAACATCAATAACCTGTGGTTTTGTGGACAGCTGGAGAGCTTCTGAGCACTGAGGCTCTCTTTGTCATGTCAGCTCTGGCCACCAGCTTTAGGACACACTGCTCAAGGTTCTCAAACTTAACATGTAAACCTCCAGCTTCCCATTAGGGAATAGTGGGAATATTTAGCAGACATTTCTAAAAAAACCACTGGAAAGGCTGGGTACACTCAGGAGTTTAAATACATTGTTAACACATTTAGGGGGGAAAAAAGGTGCAAACTTAAAACTTCTGATACATAAAACTCCTGATTAAAAGTGAATCAAACGAGGCTGGCGCTGTAGCTCAGTGGCAGAGCACTTGTCAAGCATGTATGAGGTACTGAGTTCGATTCTTAGCACCACATAAAAATGAAACAAATAAAAGTATGCTGCCCAACTATATATATATATATATATATATATATATATATATATATATATATATATATATATATATATAAAAGGAATCAAAAGGAAAGCTTAGTTTCCTCTCCCTTTTCTGAATGCCCCCATTTCTGGCCTTTGGTGCTTTTAGACTTTTCTCATGCCTACCTTATCTTCTTTAAGCTCTCACCCTCAACTCTATCTCCCAGCCACACACAGTCCAAAGTAAAAGCACATTTGCATCCATATACTCTACTGATAAGGAAATAAGTTTTATTTATCAAAGGGAGCTTATATAAACTAATTTCTTTTTAAAAAATATTTATTTTTAGTTGTAACTGGACACAATATCTTTATTTTATTTATTTATTTTTATGTGGTGCTGAGGCTCGAACCCAGGGCCTCGCACATGCTAGGCAAGTGCTCAACCACTGAGTGTCAACCCCAACCCCATATAAACTAATTTCTTTATAGATACACTTGATTACTTAACAGTCAATTTAACAAATTCAATGGATTATTTTTACCAAGGTCACCTGTATTTTAAACCATATTCCTAACTGAAGAATAAAAAGATTAGAGATGGTATAGTAATTGTTGGCATCATTTGGGAACAAGGAGGCTTTTGTGGTGTTCTTAAAAGATACCATGAAGGCAGCTGCTCTTACAGATGGTGGTGAACAAGTTATTTCATTGGATTTTACATGCCAATATCAGGTATCATAAGAAGATAATGTTTAAAAATGATTTTTGTCTCTAATATTTTATGTAACAGTACCTTTTGGCTGTTTATATTAAAAGACTGAAACATTATGAATTCACATGAGTTCCTATCTAACTTTCTAAGAAGATGATAAAAGGCTAGGATATGAAAGCATAAAAGGGTGTAGGGGATAGTGAATGATTCGTAGAACCTGTTTGGTTTTGAGCACAGCTCTATTGTAAGGACAAAGCTATAGCCCCAAGGAAGTTTGTCATTTATCCTAGGTCAGAGAAAAAGTTCTTGTTCTTTTTCTTTTGGAAGTAATGGGGATTGAACCCAGGATCTTGTACAGGTTAGGCAAGTATTCTGCCACTGAGCCACATCCTCAGCCCACAAGTTCTTTTGAAAATTATTTGATGTTTCATTATGTATATGATCTTTAAGAAACCTTTATCTCCAAGTAGTTCTAATAATTTCATTCTGTGCAGCTACAAATAAGCACAAGTTTTAGAGGACTGCTATTTCTTTCCATATAAGCACTTTCTCCATGAAGGCAATTTTGTTTTACTTTTCAACTACATAAAATGACATCTAATAATATCCATAGCTCAGCCAAAAAAGGTTAGATATTACCTATTAACAATCAATCAATAAAATTATGAGAACTGTAAAAGTGTATACCCTTTCCGCTGAAAAATAGTAATCATAACAATGATAGGAGTAATAATAACTACAATTTTATTTATTGAGCTTTACTATGTTCTAGTAAGGCAAAAGTTCTTAAAGTGAACCTCCATTCCCCATTAACAGCATCATTTGGGAACTGATAATACACATTCTTAAGTGAATGAAAAATTCTGAGTGGGGCCTAGTCTCCAGGTGATTCTGGTATAGCTGAACCACTGGCCTAGGAGAGCCAAACAGCTTGACAATAAAACAGTTTTAAATTATGATTTTAGGAAACTCTTGAACTCTGGATTTCATGAATATAGTGATGGCAAAATATATATTTTTATTAATACCTTTTTATAGTTGTTGATGGGCCTTTATTTTATTTATTTATATGTGGTGCTGAGAATTGAACCCAGTGCCTCACACATGCTAGGCAAGCGCTCTACCACTGAGCTACAACCCCAACCCAAAATATATAGTTTTTGTGGCTTTCTTAGAGCCTGAGAGAAAGGAAGAAAAAGTAGTTCTTTCAACTTATTTCTCAAAACACCTCAGCTTTGATGATTTGATGATTAACTACGATTTTCAAACAGTTATTGTTGGCCAGAATCTACATTAAGGGTGCTTATAATTACCTAATTTAGTTTCCACAACAGTTATTTCCATTTATAGAAGTGAATACTAAGTCTTAGAGAATGTTAAGTAACTTGCCTCACAGAAAGCAGGAATCAGAACCAGGACTGGACGCCATATCTGACTCAGGGTTTATACCATTGTCTCCAAGATCTTTATTTATTTATTTATTTTTTGCCAGTTTTAAAGCCAGCAGCACCACTTTGCTTCAAATTAAACTTTGGCAAGAGCTTTGCTGAATTTTAGCCTTCACAAATACCTTATTCTGTCTGAACTTTTAAAACTCCAGAAAGTACATATTTAATGCTAAATGTTGTTAAGATCATCATCATCTAGAAGACTTGTCTTTTATGTCAGAATTTTGGGTAACATAAATAAAGGAGAAATTATTCTCTATTTTAAACACAAATATAAGTTTCTGGCTGGGGATATAGCTCAATGGTGAAGCATTAACCTAATATGTGCAAGGCCCTGGGTTTGATTCAGCACCACACATGAAGTCTGCCATGCAATAATTTCTTTTCTTTTTTTCCTTTGGTACCAGGGATTGAACCCAGGGGCACTTAACCACTGAGTCACATCTCCAGTCCTTAAAATTTTTTTTTTATTTACAGGGACTGGGGTTATGGCTCAACAATAGAGCGCTCGCCTTGCACGTGCAAGGCCCTGGGTTCGATCCTCAGCAGCACATATAAATAGTTAAAATTTTTTTTTTTTAATTTAGAGACGGGGTCTTGCTGAGTTGCTTAGGGCCTCATTAAGTGGCTGAAGCTGGCTTTGAACTTATGATTCTCCTGCCTCATCTTCTGAAGCTGCTGGGATTACCCAGCATGTACCACCAAGTCTGGCTATAATTTCTTAATATCTAGCATAGTTTATTCTATCATGATTTAGTATCTCTCTCTTTTTTTTTTTTTTTTTTTTTGGTACTGGGGATTGAACCCAGGATCTCATGTACTCTACCACAGAGCCCTCTATTTTTTTAAATTTTAACTGAAAATATATTCCAATTCAGTTATTTTATTTGTAGTAGCCTCTTTGCTACTAAATTAATCCTGAAAATACTTCCAATAATAAAAACTCTGACTAAAGTTTAGAAACCACCATCACCATAGCAATTCTTAAATTTTTTCCCTTCCTTTTTTTGTGGTGCTAGGGATTAAACCCAGAGCCTCACATATGCTAAGCAGGTGCTCTATGGCTGAGCTACACAGCCCACAAAGACAGTTCTACTTTATTTATTTATTTTTTGCAGTATTAGGGATTGAGTCCAGAGTGTTCTATTGCTGAGCCAGATCTACAGCGTTGTATTTATTTTTTTTTGAGACAGGGTTGAAGTTGAAGAATTTTTCCTTATACTTGCCATTTTCCTATCTCAGTCTCCCAAATCACTGGGATTGCAGGTATACTCAGTTTCTTTCCTTTAATGACTGGATCTCAGCCAATCGTTTTGCTTTATGCATTGCAATGCACAGGATAACATCAAGAATGTGAACTATTTGAATAAAAGGAGTAAAATCTTAAAAAGTGCTTCCAAGAGCAGCCTAGGCATCATGTAATTATTAAAACTATAGTGGAAACTGCTTGATTGATTCAACCTGGAAGGAACTCAGCTGAGAATACCCATGATGGGATATACATTGTTGGATTTACCGTGTCCTTGACAGCCATGAAGCAGTGACAGATCCAGCGCCGAGTGGTGCCATCACGACATATATAAGAGAAGGCTCTATCAAAATTCCTATCTGGTGCACAGAAAGAAACTTTCTCTATTGTCTGGTCAACTATGAGGTCCTAGAAAACGGAAAGCACAAAGAAAGAGGATTTATGAAGTTAATCTCAGAATAAACACAGGAGGTTCATTTTACAATACAGAATCCCTACATGAGATGCAACTAGGTGACAAAATAGTGATTTGAAAACCAAGAATTTGACTTAAGAGACATTGCTTTATCCAGACGGCTCTCTCGCTTCATCTACTTTTTTTTCTTTTGGTGGCACTTGGGATTGAACACAGACTTCACACATGCTCGGCTAGTGTTCTATCACTGAGCGGCATTCCTAGCCCTTTTAAAAATTTTATCTTAAGACACAGTCTTACTAAGTTACCCAGGCTGGACTCAAATTTTCTATCTTCCCACCTTAGCCTCCTGAATCGCTGGTTTTTTAGGTTTATATCACTGCACCCTGTTTCATCTCTATGTTCTAAAATATATTTGGTTGGTTATAGTTTTAGATCTCTTTCATGGGAGATGTATGTTCAATTTGATAATATATATATATATATGCAAATCAATGTTTAATCCTTTTGGTTTACTTGCAATATAAGCTAAAATATATGATAATCATGCTTCTACTATCGTTTTTACACAAATTATTTTTTTAATATATACTGTTCCATACTTTGCTTTTTTCAATTAAGAATATGCCCCATATGTGAATTTTTTTAGTCAGGTACTATATTTTGCATATGTATAGCTTCCATTTGGTTCTAACTCACAGTTTGTTTCTCTGCTGGGATTTCTATTTACTCATTCAAGATCAGCATATTTCCTTTACATCAGTGAGTTATCATACCTACTTCAAAATTCTTGTCATCTCCAGGTTCAGTTTTTATTGCTTTCTGTAACAAGCCATACTTTCCTGTTCTTTGTATGCTAAGTTATTTTACACTGCATTATAGACTTTGTGGATATTATTTGTAGACAGGCTAGATTCTATTACATTCCTTGCAAGTGTGGTGTTTTTGGTTTTAGCAGGTAGTTAACTAGATTACACTCAAATGGCCAATTCCATCTTTTGGATAGCAGCTCAAATATCAGTTTTTTTATTGTTAGCTGGACTATTTAGAGTCTGCCTCACACCTGCATGGTTAAGAGATTAGAATTTAGGCCTCCTCCTCTTTGGCTCTCTCATAGCCAGGATACCCCTTTCACTTTCTGGTGGCTGCTGTTGCTTCAATTTCTGTCTTCTGTTGTTGTGCTTTCAGATAACTGGGTTGTTTTGTTCAGAGTTTACTGTTGTTTTCAGGAGGATCAGTCCAATAGGAGCATTTGTGCAACCCTGCCGTAAGTGAAACATATTGAGGATACTTTCAAAAAAAATTTTTCCTCTTAGTAATATAAATTTCATTTCCATCCATGATTCAATTTTATTTATCCCTTTTTCTAAGAAACTATCCAGTATTTAACTATACTCTTAAGTAGGTACACTTTAGAAGAACCAAGATAGACATGGGTGGGGAAGACGGATAGCAAGGCAAATTGATAGTTTCTTGCTCAAAGGTTAGGGACCTCAAATTTTGGCTTCTGTATCATGGAAAATTTGTATAGATCATGGTGTGACCTTGTCATACTCAATCCAAAAGTGTATTAACCCCTGCTCATGGCAAAATATAAAGGTGGAAGATGGATTCAAAAGTGACAAGCCACTAATTACTACTACCAATCTGTTAAAAACTAAATTAATGAATGGAAGTGCTGAAAACAGCCCACTAGGGGGCAGCATCACTTTCCAACTACAGTATAAAACAAATACCCACTTAAAAGCAGAATAGGGTTCATCCAAAACACTAATGAAAATAATACACATTCTTAAAACCAAATTGACTAATATAATCATTGTTTCCAAAAGTAATGCACTGAAATTTAAGACCACTGCTTCTCTGAAATTAAAAAAGAGTCTTACATGTAAAGTAAACTAACTAAAATGCAGCAACTCCAAATTTATCAGGCAAATTTCCTATCAAAACTGCTTTTTGGGCTGGGGATGTGGCTCAAGCGGTAGCGCGCTCGCCTGGCATGCGTGCGGCCCGGGTTCGATCCTTAGCACCACATACCAAAAAAGATGTTGTGTCCGCCGAGAACTAAAAAATAAATATTCAAAAAAAAAAAAAACTGCTTTTTATCTGACAGATGTTCCTCCTTCCAGTGAAATTTGATTTTTTAAAAAAATTGTCATATTATTAAACTTTTTTTATTAACTTACATCTTTTAGGAATTTTTTTTTAAACATTTTTAGTTGGAGTTGGACACAGTACCTTTGTTTATTTATTTTTTTGTATGTGGTGCTGAGGATCGAACCCAGTGTCTCACACATGCTAGGCAAGTGCTCTACTACTAAGCTATAATCCCAGCCCCAGGAAATATTAATTAATGATTAAATGCATTTATGTAATACTATATGATTTCTTGATGCAGAGTCAATGTGTCTGTTCTTAGTCATTTAGGATCACTTTCTCTCAAATAAAAATGCTACCTAGGATTTGAGTTATTGTTTGAATCCTAAGTAAATGTTAACCAAAGAGCCATTCTCTAGGCTTAAAATATTCATTTATGTTGCATTTCCAGTTAAATAGCAGGTTAATTATAAGTGATAGTTTACCTATCACTTTCTAAAAGCAGTGTTTTCTTAAGGAACAAGAAGAAATTTCAGATGTAGCCTGTCATATTTAAATTTTGTTTTTAAACTTATGGTAAAAGGTGAAGCATCTTTTATATTCGTGGGGGGTGAAACATTTTTAAATATGTAAGAAAAAAACCAGAACTCAGATCTTAACATTAAATGCTAGTGCTTAGTACATTAAACATGCTATATCATGTAGAACAAAATGTTGAGAGAATTCCATTTTTCATAAGGTAAATAAGTAATTAAATTGGTTTCCTGAACATTAAGCAGTCTCTCAAAATACTGTACTTTGAACAAGGTGGAAGGATATACAGTGATTATAACAGCTTAATGGCATCATATTTGATCATTAGGGATAAAAAATGATAAAATATGATATGAGCAGTTATATTTAAACTTACAAAAATCTTACCTTAGTTTTTTCATCCACAACTCTGAGTCCATCTGCTGATACCCACAGGACTGCCTTCACTGCCTTCTTTCCAGTCTTTTAAGAGAAACCAAAAAAGGAGGGGAAGGGGAGATACACATATATAATATTAAAAAATAGTCATCTTCCATAGAAAATACTGACTTCTGCCTTCCAAAAGTGACAAGTACAGACGAAGTCCAAGTTCAGGAGGGGTACCCAAAGCCAGATACTCAAACCAAACTGCAGAAACATTCAGGAAAAAACAAGCCAAAGCCATTATTTTAGAAACACAATGCGAAACAATAAGAAAAACTTAAGTAAGGGGGGAAGGGACAGATGAAATCAAAACTAAGATATCACATTCCATAAGGGGCAAAGAATTTATAACTAGATTCTTCACCCATTTAAAAAACCAACCAAGAAAACCAAGAGTCAGATAAATATTAAGTACATAAGGAGTTACACCACAAGTAGCTTCTACAAATATACACAGAGTAGAAAGTAAAAGGTAAGTCTAAATGCTGATCCTTCCACTATCCTCTGACCCCAATGTGAATAGCAGGACCCTTGGTTACCTGAAATTTTCATATTAAAAATGGCAAGAAGTCTTTATTATTCTATTAACCATCCTTAAAAAAACACTATTTCTCCTCTCAAGTTTAACACAAAACTTTAGTTTTTAATTTGACATTAAATGTATGGAGACATTTGGAAACATAGGATGATCTAAAAACGGAGTAAACAAACTTCTTATAATATGAATTTTCTTTTTACTGGCTGAGAAAAGACTTTTTATTGGTACATAAGACTCACATGAGAACAAACTGATATTTAATTTCTCCAATGATGGAATGCAATAGTAATTTAACAATGTCCTTTCTTCTTAACTGCTCCAAGGATACACGCAAATAAAACAAAACAAAGGTCAAAAACAGGTATTACATTGTAATAGAAATACATACTAAAAAGGATGCTGGTACTAAATTTGGAGCAGCAGCCTCTAGATGAGATGAGAGAATACCCCAAATACCATTCTCCTCTACATGTGCCCAAGGCCAAGAATCCTTGATATGGGAGGTCTAATCTTATTTAAATGAACTGTTTTGGTCCACTCCAGAGGTTCATCATCTCCATCATCATCACACATTTGATGAATGCCTATAATTTGTTAGCAAGTGGAAATACTTGAAAAGCTCATAGTCCAATGAAAGGCGATATTCAGATAAACAAAAATACAGTAATAAGTGCTAGAGTAGAACTGAAAACAAGGTCCAATATGCCAGCCATCAGGCACTATCAAATTTATTTGTGGAACTGGAACAGCCTATACCAAAATCATCAACCTAGGTTCTGAACAATTTTTCTTAAAGCCCTAGTATGGAAGTAGGGATGTAGAGAAGTAACAGTGGTAGTGGACCTGCAAGGGGGAAGAAACAACAGTAAAGACCTGAAAGCAATCAACATACAAGTTTGGGCTCTGTAAATATTTCAATACTCCATGAAACTAGGTTGAGTGAGTGAGGAATAATGGGAGAAAAGAGGTAGGAAAGGCCTTGTCATGGAGGGCCTTGTATGCCTGCTAAGGATTTTTTGTAGGCAATTAGAAGCTACTGAAGCAAGTGAAACACAATAAAACAGATCTGCACCTTTAAAACGTAACTTTGGTAGCAGTGTGCAGGCTGGAAAGAGTCAGGGAAGCAGGATGACTAAAAGGTTGGATGTGTGACAAAATGAGGATCCAGCTGTCTTGGCTGATGGATATGGAAACAGAAGGCTTTAAATGGTAATGTAAGGGAGGAGTGAGCATTTTTCTTGAATTCCTAGCTTGGGTAACTGAGTGGAGAGGGTACTACCAATAAAGAGAACAGAAGAGATGTAAAAGCCAGTTTGAGAGGGGAAGAATAGGATTTCAGGCAAAGTTTGAGATGTCTGTGTAATATCCAGGAGGAGAAATTCAATAGGCAATTGGATATATGTTTGAAGCTCAATAGAGTATTCTAAGATAGAATTTTAAGATTTGGTAGACATCAATGATTGGAGTAATAAAGAGAGCAAGAACACCAATAAATTAAAGAATTGTTCCAATTCTTTAATCCTTGAAACATCACAAAAGAATGGATAGACAGACACACTCTAGTCAGTTCTATTTCTCTGGAAGGCCCTAATAAAAAAGTGGATGTTAAACTAGAATGGGTTGAGAAGTAAACAAAAGGCAAGAAGAGTCTATGAGTATTAAATACTCTCTTTAAAAAGCTTTCCTGTAAAAAGGAGGAGAGCTATAGAGCAATGGGTATAGGCAGAAGAGATCTGTAATAAACTAGCATGTTATATTAGATACAGAATAGGCTTCGGAGTAAGACAAAAAGAGTCTGAATTTTGTGCAGATATTTATAAGCTAAGCAAGTGATATAGCCCTCTGAGCTTCAATTTCTTCATCTATAAAACATTTGCAGGTTTAAATGGGTTACACATTATTTATAGTATCTAGAATTTAAATAGGGTAATAAATAATTGGTAGTCATTAATCATCATTACATTACTATTGAAAAAATTAAAAAAAAATTCTCCCAATAGCAAAACTTCTCTAAAGAGTTACTTTCAACAATGATGACAATTGATCATGTTTATATGCTGAGTGGGGAAAACCAGTGCAAAGATGGAGACATGAGGCCCAGAAAAAGAGAGAAGACTACTTCAGAAAACAAATTCCTTCAGGAGACAGGATGGGATGGAGCTAGAAATACAAGTTGTAGATATGCAGAAGGGTGTCCTTTCCTCTGTAATGGAAAGATGTCATGAGGCAGAGTAGAGATGAAGACAAATTTATAAAGGAAGAAATGGCATGTTGGAGAAATTCAACCCAAAGAAGCATAAATCTACTTGTGAAGGAGATGACATTACTTGCTTTACTTCCTGGGGTGAGAAAGGAAGGATGGCAGGGTGAAATAGTAAAGATTTAGAATAGCAGTCCTAGGGGCAATGTAGTTTAGTGACCAAGAACCAAGATGCTGTCTGGGTTTGAATTCTGGTTCAGCAACTTACTAGCATGACCAAGGATAAGTTACTTAACTTTGCTATACTTCAGTTTCTACATCTGTATAATGATGTTAATAATTTCATATATCTTATGAGAGTGTGATAATAAAATGAGAATGAGTTCATGTATATAAAAAGTTTAGAACTAGGCTGGTTGTATAATTTACTGTCCACACTGGAACCATTTTGAAAATGAAAGGGGGCACTATTAAAACCTAGGAACAGATGTTATGTTGGGGCTGTTCCAGGCAATCTGGGACAAAAAAAGTCACCCCATCAACAAGGTTAACTGCCCATTTTTAACCAATAATGTAACATTGAATATTTTACTGAAGGTAAGCTCTGTGAGGACTTTTTCCCATCTGTATTGTTCTCTGCTGTATCCTGATTTTTTTAAAAAAATTTTTAGTTGTAGATGGACACAATACCTTTATTTATTTATTTATTTTTATGGGGGATGCTGAGGATTGAATCCAGCACCTCACACATGCCAGGAGAGTGCCCTACCGCTAAGCCACAACCCTAGCCCCTGTATCCTGATCTTGATGCTTGGAATGGAGTAGGAATTTAAGAAATATTTGTTGAAAGAAGAAATTTGCTAAATGTCTACTCTAAGGAATGGAAAATGACTAACCAATGACATAGAATGCTGCCAAATGGCACTGAAAATCCTGTATAAGACATTTAAATTTACAGTTTTATCAGTCTGCATGTTCTGTAATTGTAGCCTGCCGTGTTCAGCATTTGAGGGAAGAGAGCGGATTACTTCAAGGTTGAAGACTGAAGGTGGGAAAAATAAAAGGCCATTTTATAATGGGACTGTTCTCCAGTTCTCTTCCTTATAATATTCAAATACAACATTCTTGGCCCAATTTTATGGTTATGAAAACTTTTTGAGATATGCCTTTATAAAAATTTGTACACCATTATACTAATGTATTAGTGAGAAATTGTATTTTGTCATATTCATGGCTTCTGCTATTTTTAAATAGGGAAAGATAATATGAATTCTTTTTGTATTTATTAATATATTTGAGTGCCTCATTTCATTTACTTGAATTTTGCCTCATTTCATTTACTCAGTTAGGTACTGAGATATCAATATTCAAAGATGCTTGTAGCTGATATTTCTAGATTTCCTCTTAGAACTTTTATAATAGTGACACTTCTGTATTATTTGTAAACTTTTAGAGTCTTTCATTCTGATAATATAAACTGAGATTCCTTGGAACTTTTTTTAATAAATATTTTTTATAGTAGATGGACACAATACCTTTATTTTATTTTTATGTGGTGCCGAGGATCGAACCCTAGTGCATGCTAGGCAGGCGCTCTACCAACTGAGCTACAGCCCCAGCCCACTCCTTGGCACTTTTAAGAAAAGAAGATAAAAGTCAGAGAAAATGAATTTTTTTTTTGGCTTCTGTTTGCTTTAAAACTAGCTATTTAAACCAATAATTCTCGGAGATCAGGTCAAAGCTGGCTAACTAAAGGGACTGGGAGGAAAAAAAAAGATAACAGAGTAGGAAACGCAGAACTACATAAATTTTGTGGTATAAATATCCCTTCAAAAATACTGCATACTTTAGGTGCTACTAAATTTGTGGCAGTGATAAAGTAATGTAAGATATTAGCAATTATTTCATAACTGCTATTCCAAGATGTTCTATTTTAATAAAAATGAGTTTACAGGTGAAATTAATGCTGAATAGTGTCAATGTCATGAAAAAATTTCATACATAATAAAGATAAAATTGCTAATTCTTCAAAGAAAGAAAATGGATCAAACATGGACAGAATTCTAGTAACTTAGAATTTAAACTAGTGAAATCTAAACAGAAGAATCAAGTTAACCTATAAGTGAAAAATGACAAATGAAAATATAACTTTCAAATAACCACTCTATTCTTTAAATAGCCAGCTTAGAATTTAAAAATTACCATCTGCTTTGAACCCTTATTATGGGTAATATAAATCAAAATAGCAGTTAAGCAGGCTCTGACCCAGAAGAATATGATAACAAGTTAGTGGATTTATTA